TTTAGGCTTTTATCGTTATGAGTTTTTAAGATTCTTAAAATGTTCCTGAAAAATTGGAGGGATGTATGGTAGTAAACACATATTATCTTTATGTTTTTATTCCGTTACTGGTCTAGGAGTGGGGTATAATGGAAGTAATTTAATATTTCGGTATATTTTTGGTCTTCCTCTTTTAGGTGAAAGATCCAAAACGTGATATCCGAATAATAATTAACGTATTCACATAATAAGTACGTTGTCATTAACTTACCTAAACCGCTATCCGCGTACATAGTGGTAAAATATATCAATTAATTTCCCGCCGATAATTAGTTCGGAAGAGCTCAACTGAATTAATGCACTTTCAAAATAGAACTAGATGAATTCCATATATTGTTAGGTAGACCGGAAAATATTGTCGGTTCTGTTATCGTTTGATTGTCATTTGTCGGCTTATTGTGTAGTTCAAAAATGCGCTAGAAGGCCACGTGCCATTTTATGGTTATGTTTATATAATTTCTTTAAATTTTTGGCTTAGACCACTTTCATAATTAACGCTAAATGAATTCCATATAATGTTGAAATTACAACCACTATCTAATGGTTCATTTTTGACAATATCGTAGAAATTACATTTAATTAATTTAGTTTAAAATTATGTAGGGTGAAATAACTGATCAACTCATTTTTTTTTAATTTTGACTTGGTCCACTTTCATAATTATGGGCTCATATGTGGGTAAGTTTCCCACTTACGGCATTGAAATTGACTATACAGTGCAATATATAGTGTTTATAGACTCCGCTGGTAAAATTGGTCGATGAGCAGCGGGGATCAACGTTCCATTTCTGAACAGGAAACGTACAGTTGAGGGGCACAGGGTATTACGCGTTATAAATTACATGTGGACCGCAGACACTTTAAAAACCCATGCACGTACGTACACGCACAAAAGATAAAGTGTAGAAAAGCTGCGATTGGGCGTGCGTTTGCGCGCAAATTTGCACGAATGCAACGACCTACGATCATTGTAGCATTATACAATAATGTTCATTTCGTTACTTCCTAGTTACGGTACCTCTTGACGAGGGCGTTTCTCTGAAATTCTGTCGAGATTACCGATTATGCCTCGTTACACGACCCACGCGAGAGGTCAACGATTTCGGAGCATTTTTCGCGACATGAATTCCCACTTAACCCCATCAAGATATTCAATTCAAGTAACGAATCAGTTATTTCTATGGCAATTGAAACGCAATATTCCAATGTACATCTCATGGTCAGGAATAAAATGCATCGATTTACGATACGGAAGGTACTTGAACTGCACAATAGATGAGTATGAAAATCATAAGTTCATAAAAGTGCTTGAACGTCTATAGGTACTGGCTCATTGACGACGATTTCACGTCGGAATATACTGTTTTGTCAATTCACCAAATCGTAAATAATGATTTTGTACAATCATAATTAAACTGCAGTTCTTCACGTTTTTCCTTAACATTTTTTACAATTATTCGGCACCAGCTTAGATGCTGACGTGACTCTTAAAATGAGATATTAACAAAAAGTAATTTGCTTATTTTATTACAGAGGATCCAAAAATGGTGTCTCGGACCCGTCCAATCAAGATTACCGCAGTAGGGGACGGTATGGTTGGAAAAACTTGCATGCTTATCACGTACACGAACAAGAAATTTCCAACGGATTACGTTCCGACCGTGTAAGTATTTAATCGACAATTTCATCAGGCGATATGAAAGTTCGTTTCGTCCTATTTTTGCTTTATAATCCATAAACGATTCGGATGAGAAATGTCTCTCGAGGCTTTTAAGGTGAAGTGAAACCTTCTTCATATCAGTCGATTCGAATACAACACTTTTTTTTAAGGGTATTGGACCAAACTGTCCGAAACTTTGCCACACCACTCCTGATCATCTAATAATTGTCCTGATACATTCAATATTTGGATTTTTTGAACTAGTTAATTTACTCAGCCCAAATCAGAACCAAAATGGCGTCGAGTTCTCATATTTCAATCAAATATCAAAGGCTCTAATATGAGAAATGAAAATGTCAGGACAATTGTACGACAATTTAGAACACACTATTAATCGATAAACTCGCATTTGAACGGGATAAAGGCAAAAAAAGTGTTGTATGCGCATCTATGCTAAAACGATGGGAATACGAGGTCTCGAAATGAAAATTTAATTGACCTGGAAATCACAGATGGCGCAGGGAGTCCCTCTGCAGTCAATTAGGGCCCGAGAAAGCATGAATCCAGAGGATTTCTGGAGTTTTACTTCGATTTCTTGATATTTATTGTACAAAAACGACAGGTGGAGTATGCCATTTGGTACAATACCCAATATAATTCGACCCAGCTGTCAATATAAAAACGAATGTCGGCAACGTAGGCATTTAGAAAAATCTTCTTTATCGACGTCGATCAAGTTCCTCGACGTATTTCACTTCACCTTAAGCATGAAAATTCGAGAAATAAATAATAATGGCATACGCAAATTTTATCAGTATCGAATGGAAACCGAATGAATTGATTAGTTTTCCTTATTTTCGCCAGTTTCGACAACTACGCAGACAACATTTGCGTAAATGGACAGGATTTTAGCATGGCGCTGTGGGACACGGCCGGTCAGGAAGATTACGAAAGACTGAGGCCTTTGTCGTATCCAAATGTAAGTTTCATCTGTTACCAATGTTTCTGTCCGGTTTTTTCGAACGTAAATGAACTTGCTTATGAAAATCCGTTGTTAGTGGATTTTGCTCGGCTTTGAATACCAACAATTATTTATAGAATATCGTTTTCAGACCGATTGTTTCCTGCTCTGCTTCTCGGTGAGCGCTCGCAGTTCTTATGCGAATGTGTCCAGCAAGTGGTATCCTGAAATTAAGTTTCACTGTCCTAATACACCGATCGTCCTTGTTGGTAAATTTCTGTTTAATATTTACAAAATTTTACTTACCGCTACGTTTACTTTTGTATTATCTTCTTTAAGTTCATTAGTAAAAATGCATGGCATAATAATCTACGATGTGATATTTTTTATGGAAGTTTACAAATTATTTTTGACCCAACATGTTGTAATTACAGGTACCAAAGGCGATCTCAGAAACGAAGAGGGTCCGGACATAATATCATTGAGAGAATGTAAAAAAATGAAAAAGAAGATTAAAGCCTTTAAATACGTGGAATGTTCAGCAATGAAACAGGAGGGCCTGGAAGAAGTCTTCGTAGAAGCAATTAAAGCCGTCTTAAAGAAACCAAGATCAAGAAAACTTAGTTGCCTCTAGTAAAGTATTAATATGCATAACGCAAAATCGGTAAAATAAAAATGATTACAGTAACGAAAATGGAACGAAATGTTAATAATGAAGGCATAAAAATGTCTTTCACATCTACAGTCCCAAAGAGACTCTCCTGTGTGCTCATCGAAGAACTCATAACCAAAGATATTTCCTGCAACCCTCGTCTCTTGTTTTTGTATAAAAATGCGTTTAAAAAAGCCGGCTAACGTACAAATAGCCGAAATAAAAAATTTGTTAATGAAAGTGTCACTCTACAGTCACCTATTATGTAAATATATAGCATTTACTACAGCCCAAAACAGCTCAAATAAATTAAGCATAGTTTTTAAAGTCATTGAAAGAAAGGAAATTTGTATATTGATTTCTTTTATTTCACTTCAAAAAAATTTGCGTTCATAATAAAATGTACAGCGAATGTATTACTTTTACCCATACTCGACACTGATATTGTGTTTATAACGAAATGAAAATTAAATAAGGTATATCACTAATGTTTTGGAATATAGCATAAACATAGACAATGAGAGCTAAATAATATAACACAAGCTTTCTTCTATAAGTACATTTACATTTTTGATGCATGTCTACACACATGCTGTTATAAAAAACTGACAAACATTTGAAGTATTTAAAAAGTATTTTATACATTTAAACACGTTTTACGTAACTTTACATACTGGAAATCAAATTTGTGAACTAAGCTAATATTAGAGGTACTCATATGTAACATCATCTCTTATATTTTAAAGTGCTTCAATAAAATAGTATTTATGAATGTCTTTAATACAAGTAACAGAAAATGGAGCAAAATATTTATCTAATGTGCATCGATTTTATTTTTTTGTAAGTTACATTTAAAGTTAATACTTTACAAAGGTATCTCAAACCAAGATGTAAGTTAGTAACTTTGGCCTACGATTGTCTTACTTCAACAAAACGACTCTATTTCAATACTGTTATGATCAAATCTGACTTGAACAATTACATGTTAAACAGAAGATTGAAATAAAAAAAAATCCGTATTTTATTGTAACAGAACAAAGAACGCGTTTATTTTATTACTCTAATACAGACGTACTCTGAAAATTCGTATGCATTACCCATAATTGTAGAAAAAATAAATTAATTATTATCAGACTCTGAGACAGATAGTAAGTGGGACAAAGTCAAGTTCATCTTGCAAGTGTCCTACGGTATAAATTTCATAAATTCTTTAATCTTCATTTATTAAAACATATTCATGTTTTACCGACCAAAAGATCCATCCGAGATTGGTGTTACTTTCTGCTGAATAATTTTTCCATAGCCTCCTCTGCCGCTATCGAAGTCAGATCTGTACTCGTCTCTTACCTAAAATGCATGTATTAGTATAAAACTGAATCTTTACATTGTTATATGCCACGGTAGGGTTAACTTAAATTCTATTTACCTGACCACCAGTCTTGCCTCGTCCATATTGCCTGCCTTCAATAAATCCAGCATCCCAATCCGTTCTAATAATTCTATCGTCTAACCTTGTGCCATTAATATATCGCATACAATTTTCTGCATCAGCTCTAATATAATATTCAACGAAGCAGAAACCACAAGGAGTCTTTTTATATTTGTCTAATCCCATTATAATGCGCCTGATATCTCCACATTTTGAAAATAATTCATAGATCTGTTCTTCTGTCGTATAAAACGAGAGGTTGCCCACGTATAGAGTCGAGGAATTCCTCAACAGTCTGTCTTGTTCAGCTCTTGAGCCCTATAGATAAATAAGTTTAATTAGACAAACATAAATCCAATATTAAATCAAATTATAATTATCATAAATTTAAACAGTAAAATGTAGGAAAGTATGCAAGTTAACGAGGTTAGGTTGGAATAAATACTATACCTTAAAGTGCTGATCCCGGTAAGAACTTAAATCGACCGAAGGAGTTAGGACGCCAGTCATTTTGGTAAATATTTTCAAGGTTTTACTTTTTTGGTATACTCAAAGACAATAAATAGTTCCAACTCGGCACCGACAACCGACAACTTCACGCGTTTGTGCGTAATAACTACTGTAAGTTGAGAAACTGCTTAGAGGCCAATCTATGCAAGGGTCAGTGCTGCCATCTTACGAAGAGTTTTCTCACTTCATGCACTTTGTGCGCGCCATTATGGACATAGGCAGGTTGGGTAAATAAAATACATTAGGTAACCATATGTACATACATATGTACAGTAAAAATTATTTCCTTCGTTTCAGTACTTGTCGTTGAATTATTTCTTGTAGTGTAGTACTTATCATAATTTCTGTTATGCTATTTAATAAAAAGAAACGTGTATGTATATTGTGACGTGGTATATTTTTGCCACCTCACGGCAACCCCAAATTTCAGTCGACGTCTGCTTTTTGCGTTCTTTCTTTACAGGCTACTAGGTCCGACGGTCACCGACCCGAGGGAGAGAGAAAACCAGCCTAATTGTTAATTAATTTAAGTTGAGTACTTTGTTGCAATATAATTTAGCGATCCACGGGAACTCTCCCAATTTCCTGTAAGGAGTCATCCATTTAACTTTTGAGTTCCCGGGCGTGCTATCGAGCACTCGCAGGAATGTTCGAAAGGAATATTTGGCGAGGTGTTCGAGAGCTCGCCCAAATTTCTATAACGCGTAGCGAGGCTCCGATCGTCAGGACGGAATGTCAACACCGGCGACCTCTCGTAGGTCGCGCGCGTGCGCTACCGGTCATCCCCCTGGCCTGAAGAAGGAAGCCGTCGACGAAGCCTCGGCGGCCAGGCCTGTGTATGTATGAATCATGTTTGTATGTCAAGGACGAGAATATATTTCGTTTGGGACTTCTTCGGGCAGTACCTCGCCGGACATTGCCGGACATAGAGGAGCATCGCCGGACGTTGCAGGACGTCGCCTGGCGCGTTTTCTAACCGCTGGTTTAGCGGTGCGTAGCCGATCGTATTTTATCCCGCCGAAAAGTAAAAGTGGTAACGGACATGGCCCGCGCAAAATCACAAAGCGAGCCGAGGCGGTCGGCGAGCCGGCCGACTCTACCTGTTCGCCGAACAGTAAGAAACAACTTCTACCCGCCGACTCAGAATCCGTTGACAAGCCTAGAGCGGTTAGGTTTCCTAGGGAAGCAAAAAGCAGAATGCCGGAGTCCCCAATGGACATCAAAAGAGCTGTGAGCAGGCTTTGCGTTCATCACCTTGCCTTTGGGTTTATTCTTTTTTTGCTCCACACTTTCCACCTTTTTGGCAGCAGCACCTTTTCCTTTAACCGTTTTCTTTTCATCTACTGATACTGGGTGAAGCGGAAGAAGGCTAAGGGTAAAGTTGCCGAAGCTACTATGGAAGCCGAGGGTATTGAAACTACTTCTGTTGTCGAAGTCTCCCATGATAATGAAAAAGGTATATTATTACTGTTGTTTTTGTTTATGGTATTAAGCCCTATATCTTTAGAAAAGTGATACAGTTACATTCGCTTTATTATGAACGCTAGATATCGTATCTTGATGGATATTCAGAGCCACATGAACTGATTATCTTTGTATTTCTTTCTCATAAGTGAAGTCAAAAGTAGGGGCAAAAGGAAAAAAGCATCACCCAAGAAGACTAAGACAGCTGTTAAGAAGCCTAAGGGTAAAGTTGCCGAAGCTATCATGGAAGCCGAGGGTATTGAAACTACTTGTGATGTCGAAGTCTCCCATGATAATGAAAAAGGTATATTATTACTGTTGTTTTTGTTTATGGTATTAAGCTCTATATCTTTACAAAAATGATACAGTTACGTTCGCTTTATTATGAACGCTAGATATCGTATGTTGATGGATATTCAGAGCCACATGAACTGATTATCTTTGTATTTCTTTCTTATAGGTGAAGTCAAAGGAAGGGATAAAAGGGAAAAAGCTAAAAATGACAACGTTAAACCAGTATCAATAGATGAAAAGAAAACGGTTAAAGGAAAAGGTGCTGCTGCCAAAAAGGTGGAAAGTGTGGAGCAAAAAAAGAGTAAACCCAAAGGCAAGGTGATGAACGCAAAGCCTGCTCACAGCTCTTTTCATGTCCATTGGGGACTCCGCTAGGGATTCCGGCATTCTGCTTTTCGCTTCCCTGGGAAACCTAACCGCTCTAGGCTTGTCAACGGATTCTGAGTCAGCGGGTAGAAGTTTTTTCTTACTGTTCGGCGAACGGGTAGAGTCGGCCGGCTCACCGACCGCCTCGGCTCGCTTTGCGATTTTGCGCGTGCCATGTCCGTTATCACTTTTACTTTTCGGCGGGATAAAATACGATCGGCTACGCACCGCTAAACCAGTAGTTAGAAAACGCGCCAGGCGACGTCCTGCAACGTCCAGCGATGTTCCTCGATGTCCGGCGAGGTACACGGGGCTCCGTCGATGGTTTCCTCCTGGTCCGCTCTGCCCTCTCCGGCCGTGTAGCGTACTAGCGGCAGGAGCAGTGCGGTTTGTTAAATGATAATGTACCGAATTTTTTAAAATGATATAACAAAACATGTTTTATTAAATGTTAACAAGTTTCTTAGCGATTCAATTGTTCCATCCACTGAACCGAAGTTAGAATATTATCTTAGCTTAAAAAAAATAGTTTCTAAATATATATACAGTGAAATGTCGTAGGACAATTTACTATGCATCAACTTTCGGACATAGAAACGAAATCGTGATTTCATGTCTCTTATATATTAACGTTCTACACCATTCTTCGTATTCCTCAAATTGGTTTCAATTTTAGATAAGTGATAAATATCTTTGAATACTATTAAGAAGCAATTTATAGGATGAACCATAGTTTTGATATAATTTTTTCTGTAGATGCCCCAATAGACTCCAAGTTGAGGGTAAATAAGTACAAAAAATTAGAAATATTAGGTCGACACTCAAGAAACAAGTTTTTTTTTTCTAATAGAAAATACAATCTGCTATTAGGAACACCATGTGCAACCCTCATCAAACAGATGTCCTCGTATTTTTTAGTAACTCACACTGAAAAAAAAAGGAGAGTAAATTCATCTAATTTTCTGAGTTAAATGTGGCGAACTCAATAAACTAGTTTACTCAATTTAGATTTGGAGCTATCAATTCTGTTTCATTTAAGTTTGGAGTTGATTCAAATACCAAATTTGATTTTACACTAAATGTAAGTTGAACCAACTCGCTTATTGAGTTCGCCATATGTAACTCAGAAAATGAGTTGAATTTACTCATTTTTTTCCCCGTGCAGAAGTAAAACAACATAACTAGAAATTCATGAAAGAAAACATAAATGCTAGTCTTTGTGAATGTCTTAAAATACTTTTTATTCTCCTTAAAAATAAGAAGCCAATATAAAACTGTATAAATTTCTTTAATATCTGTCAAAGTTATTTGGTCTCGTTTTTCTCGCTCGAGTGCAGTCTGAAAGATTTCATGGGTGTCATTTTTATACACTCGATGGCCAATCTGCTTAACGTCGTTTCTAACCATCTTTTCTCGATTTGCCCCGACTAATACACTGAAAAGGAAATCAATTGCTAGAAAATTTATGGTTTAATTTTTCTCAACCTGACCTCAAATACATTACTGTAAAATGTAATTAAAAGATTGAAGTATGCACGAATTGAACGCATAACGCTGGAAAACCATAATATAAAAAATAAGTTTATGAAGCAATGAGAAAACCACAGGATTGCTCGTTAATTTTTAAATTTGATTACATGAACACATTGAAAATTTTTATTAATTGTTTTTGTTTATAAATATTTATTTTCTTTAGGAAATCCATTCTGCCCCTCGAGCGATTCGAATTCCGCGCTGCTCCCGCCGCTGGTACGGTGCGCGGCCGGAGAGGGCAGTGCGGACCAGGTGCAAGCCATCGATGGACTCCAGCGTACATACTTCCGCAGTGTGCTACGTTTGTTGCTGATCACTTTTTTAGGCTACAGGAAATAGATTTCGGAACATTGCCCATGAAAGATGTTTCATTCTTTAAATTGATTCTTTAGCGCCGCCTTTGAAACAATATCAAGGTTAAGAAGAATTATCAGCCGTTTGTCAATCTGGTGACATTATTTTTACATAAAGTGATCATAAAGGAGCTTTTAGTGTTTACTTAATGCATGTATGTTTCTAAACTGCATAGAATTAGTTTTTACAGGTTAATATTTTGTTTGCTTTAAAAAGAAAGGTTGTACCTTTCATTTTCAAAAAAATTGTAAAAATATCATCATGTCAGGAACGACATTCCCATTAAAGGAATTACCACTTTCACGTGAGTACTATTGTTTATTTTTATACAAATATACACACAAACTTTTAGTGATAATTGTTCAAAGAAATTCTTTATTTCCTTTACAGTTGATGATCATGAATTTGTTGTGCCACAGAAAGCAATCAAAGTACCTGCTGACATGTCAATTTGGCAGAAATCGGAGGCATTTTTTGTATGTTCTGCTTTTTATTCTTATCCATTCATTTATTACAAAGGCACTTATATATAAGTGCAATATATCTTTCTTCTATTAACTTGTTTATGTTTAACAAGAAATTGCATTCTTCAGTTCTTCGAATAACTTTTAAATTAGCAGAGCATGTTATCTTATTTTTCAAAATTCATCCAAATTATTTCAGGAATACATGGGTTTTATATTGGCTTTAAATGAATCTGTTCAAGGAAAAGCCTTAAATGCAGATTGCCCGCAATCTGTTTGCGTTAAAAAGATTATAGAAATGTTAGAGAAGTTCGATGAATGGATCACAGAAATTCCTCCAGCGGAACAACCACAACGCTTTGGCAATAAATCATTTCGTATTTGGCATGCCAAGTTACAATCGGTATTAATATTACTTACGGTTAATTTTTTTATATAATAAAATAAAATCCCCAGATGTACAAAACTCAGAAAATCAATTATATTTCAGAGTGGAATCGAGGAATTAAAAACAGTATTACCAAGTCAAATGCACCGTGCTATACCTGAAATAGTAGAATACATGTATGAAGGATTTGGAAATCCTACACGTATAGATTATGGAACTGGACATGAAATGGCCTTTATTATGTTCTTGTGTTGTCTGTTTAAAATTGGTGCTTTTAAACCCGATGATAGAACTGCTGTTGCTATTAAAGTATTCAACAGGTAAAATATAAATGGATGAAATGCACTTATGTATTTGCACATGGAGTTTATTAAAATACAGAAAATATTTGATTGCAGTACATTTATTTACAATATTTTAAAACTTCATGATTCCGTAAACACAAATCATGTCTATCTGTGATACTATATAAAATTTGTTCATTACAATATCATTGAACTGTTCATTGATTTAGTTTTATTAAAAATCATCTTATTTACATTTGTATTCATTGTTTCAGATGATGTATGTTAAATTCATAAATATGTCTTTATTCATATGTCTTTTGTTCTAGGTACCTTATTTTAGTGCGTAGGCTGCAACTGGTTTATCGCATGGAGCCTGCTGGCAGTCATGGTGTTTGGAGCTTGGATGATTATCAGTTTGTTCCATTCATTTGGGGAAGTGCCCAATTAATTGGTAGGTCATTAAATATACTTCTGCATCATGTTTATATATAAGAAAATTGACGTAGTATATCTTACTGAAATAAAGTTGCAATCCTTATATTTTAGGTCACCCACGCATTGAACCTCATCATTTTGTGGAACAAGATGTTGTCGAATTATATGGCAAGCAATATATGTTTTTAGGATGTATTGATTTTATCTTGAAGGTAAAATGCTTGATTATCTTTTAGATTTCCTTCAAAAATTAGGTTTATTAAGTAATGAAATTTATTTACAGGTAAAGACGGGACCTTTCGCTGAACATTCAAATCAATTGTGGAATGTTAGTGCAGTTTCATCGTGGTCAAAAGTAAACAGTGGACTTACTAAGATGTACAAAGTTGAGGTAAAGATTCCTTTTAAGCACTAAGTCACAAAATCAGTAGTTTGAAATGAAAATAAACATCTTTGTTTTGCAGGTACTAGCCAAGTTTCCAGTAATTCAGCACGTTCTCTTTGGTTCGTTGTTTTCAACAAAAGCAGCACCAAGTGGTACTAATACGAGAGTACCCCGTCTCAGTCAAAACCCTCCTGCTCCACCCAAGTAATGATTCCGATTTGCATTGAAAATATACATGTCCCAATTTGCTGTTGTAGTTTGTAATAAAGATATTTTATTTATAATAAAACTGTACATTACAAATTTAAAATACAGTTCTTTTCAATATTATTAAATGTTTTCCTAAAGAACTTATAGATTTATTAAACTAATTACATGGTTTTACTGAATGCAAATTCATTACTTCTACCCATCGCCGCATTTGTACACATATATTACATTTTTGAAAAGATTGTTTTTATCTTAACCATATTGTAAAGACAGAAAACAACTTCAATTTTATTTAGACTCAACTAAACGGTAACTATAGTAATTTTAAAATTTAAATAAACCAACAATGTTCATTTTCCACTTAGTTAAAAATTGTTACTGTAATTTGAGTTCTCAATACAGCTTTACTCTTTACTAATAGGATTTTTGCATGTCAAGCAAAAATATACAAAAACAATGTAGAACATATATCCACTGTTCAATGAACATATAAAACAATAAAATTTAAATCTTGGTGTGTATCGCACTTATTAAAGTGGAAGATGATTCGTTAATTGCACAAATATTATTTCAAGGACACAGGAATTGACAACACATAGTTACTTTATATTAATATTTCTAGATGTATACGTACAAAAGCTACAGTTCTAATAAATTCCAAGCCCGATTAATTGAATAAGGCAATATAAAAATAGTGTAAGTATATAAATCCTGCTTCTTAAAATTATGATATTTCATGTCAAATTTAATTACTAAATGAATTAACACTATAGTTCTTAAAAAATAATAAAAATAACGAATGTCCCATTAATTGAGCATGACTCATGTCATATAATATCAAACCTGATCTCTAAGCGAAAAATAAAGTTTATAAAATACATTTTCATTTTATTAAATATTAACAAAAATGTTAGGACCTTATTAGTTGCATTTTAAAAATATCTACCACATTTTCATAAATAAACCTAGCCACATAATTAAATCATACACATTTGAAAAATAAGTTTCTTTAAAATTAATTAATAGGGATATATGAAGGTAATGGTCCTAAGGGGACCTTTCTGGGACAATCACATATGTTCATTTTGTCTTCAATAATATTGCTACAATCCATTTGAACATCATCATTTTTTTCTTCTGATTCCGAGCCGCTTATCTTACTATTTTGTACATTTTTCATGATTTCAATTTTTTTCATAATGCTTTGTCTTTTATTATCAATACATTGTTGCGGACTATCAGTCTCATCATAATATCGCTTCCTATTTTCTGGGGATTGTAGAGCTTTGTCAGGAACTGATTGTTTTGTAAGTTCAACCTTAGATATACTACGGTTCCTTTTAAATAACTTACTTGGTTGCTTTTTAGCTGGAATAGCTGATTTATGAGGATACGGACACTTCTTACCTTTTGCGCACATTCCTGTTTTATCAAATTCTGGACATACGTACACATGCCGACGTTTGCACTTACTTGCCTCGGCACAGTACCCTCTTAGGAACTCCGTGCATATAGGTGTATCTTTAGAAACTTTAACATGAAGGTAGGGACAAGCTTCACGATTGCAACAACCCTCTAAGAAATATTTACAAGTGGGCATCTTCTCTGGACCAATGTTATGCGATAATGGGCAATTGTCTAAAAGACATTTTCCTTGCAAAAATTTTTGACATAATGCTACTTGTTTTTTGTCGTGAAGCTTTGGACATGTGCCTTTCGCCTGATTTGCACAGTATCCAAATCTTTGAAACAATAGACAAGGTAGATTATTCTTTTGCATCTTATTTCGTAAAATTTGTATACTTTTTTGTTTGACTTTGTTAATTGTTTTTCTTACTACCACTGAATCATTCCTGATATATTTCTTTTTCTGAACATTGGTTCTATCAATCTTATACTTATTCACTTGGACAGATCTGATTGTGTCAAGATGAGTACTTAATTTATTTGTTGTGTCCTTGATAAGCTTATATCGCGACGAAACCTTTATTTTCCATGGATTGGTACATGTCTGCAATCGGTTTTTCTTGGGATTCAAAGGTGACACATTAGATGTACGTTTGTTATGTTTCACGCGAATAATTTTCCTTTGCGATAACGAAATAAAGTTTGTGCCCACAGTCTTTCTTGGAGTTACATTAAGTGAATTTCGAATGAGTTTCGTTTTAGATCGTATGACATAATTACTTTCGCCAGTAGTTCCTTTATTTAAAGGTAAACTACATTGCTTGGAAGATATAGATGTGGCAGAAGATAATTTCCTCATCAGCACAGGATTTACGTATACTGATTTTTTAATTTTTATAGCTTCACTTGATTGTTTGGTGCTTTGTTTACTCTCTGCTATTTTAACATTTTCTTCAGGTTTACATGGAAGTACGATGTTTTTCATTAATTTTGGATTTAAATACACTGATGGTTTTACCTGCATTTTTGGATTAAAATGGATTGTAGAACATTTAGGCTTAAAATTTGGATTTATATATACATTCCTAGACTCCAGAAGAGATTGCGTAGAAATATATTTGCTTTGATCTTGCAAATTTGGACCAATATTGGTTACGCATTTGATCAAATGTTTTCCAATTCTCGCACCAGAGTCATTTTGTAGTGCACAATACGATGTATGCTGTGATGTACAAACGGTAGCTTTTTCATGAGAACACACTGCATCTGAATGTATTATATTAGACATTGTTTTGAAACAATTCTGCTCTGTGTCATCCAATAGATATATATATATCTTCCATATGGAGTATGTCCTTCGTCAACGTACGAATCTTAGCACTCCAACTGTGTTGCATAGAATATTCTTCCGTTATTAAACCTTGTTTAAAAACCTCTACGGATTGTAAATATTTACAATCAATTTACCTCTTGCCGATTTTCCAAAAAGGCTTGGGAACTTTTGGATTCTATACGATTATATTCAGCTTCGTTAAAATTTCCCACGTTTTATAGATCGTAACTCTTAACCAAACAAAAGTAGACAACTGCTGAAACCACTGATATGAAGTAAAGTGGATACGGAATTGGGGCCCTAGTCATCGAGATAATATTAAAAGGAGTGAATGTATGGGTGGTGGGGGACGCAACGGAGGCGCTTTGAGATGAGTCGAACTGGGTGGGGGCAAAATAATACGTATAAACAGTGGTGTAAACAAATTTGCACATCTGGCCGTTTATTACATATTTTTGACGAGAGCGCTCATTTCTCGCACTTTCACCTCACGTGGGTTTATTCGCCGAATTACGTATTCGTTATATGAAAGAACGAGATCACTAGCACTTCCGGTCTAGTAATATTGAAATAAAGGTACAAACCTTGTAAATCGAAAATTGTGAGAGGTAGTGGGTTGTAGCCTAGTTATTATTATTNTAACGTTCTCTTAAATTCTCAATGTTCCCGGTAACTTACGATATGTTTCACAGTTACCTTCTCCAATTTAATGTTACCGAGAATTTTCGAACTCTAGTTACACAACACTGAATGCCGCCATATTATGATCACTGAACAGTCCATTCAGCAGAAAATCGCAACATGTTCCCAACTCATCGGTAACCGCTTTTCTCCTCCGAATGCACCCATTGTTGAGAGGTAGTGGGTTATAGACAGGAAAGGCGGGAAGATGGAAAGCTGTTAAAAGTAAAGAAGAGGACTCGAGTCTATCTATATTTTTTAAATATGTATTACATTCACATTTACATGTATGTATGTACAAAAGTATGTGTCTCCGTAGTAACTTAATATGCTCACTAACGCAATCTATGAACAAACAGCGGATTTGAGCTTATACACCTGGTATATCTGAGAAGTCAAATCGTTGGTGAAAGTATTCTCCGAATTAGGTGTACCGATTCGTTTCAAATTTTACCACGTGAATATGGGGCCCTAAAGAAGTTCTTAAAACTCACGAAATTTCAATTTTCATCAAAAATTAATTTATCATGGACTAGAACTAACATGGCGTGGTCCGTGCACATGTTCCATGTTTTACCTGGTTTTACGCATCTAGAAGGCTGAGAAACGAAAATGAAGAGTTTCAGGACCTAGCTCGAACAATTTAAAATACTTGGTTTAGACCCGATAAATCCCGGATCTCGAATACAATGGAGACGTATTCAAAATATGCTAATTGCGATTGCTGCGCCAACTGCGAGAGAACCTAGAAATAAAAGGTACATACTCTCAAAGGTCCTCAATTTATAGAACGATTCCTTAGGTAGAGTGTTCCATCTATAGTTTCTCAGTGTTCGACATAACCTTAATATTGTGTTGGCCGATTTTGATATAAGCAGAGTTTAAATTTTCGTGCATCGTTAGTGCTAAGAAATTCTATTGCACCATGACCACAGCAAAACAGAGTGTGAAGAAACAAAAATGGGCTTTGGATTTTTCTCAAAAGTATAATCAGATATCACTTCCTGTTTTGTCATGTCAATCGAAACTTGAATAATCCATTTTCAATGAATTGTTTCTGTATTTGCAGCCACTTATGTTATATTCACAATTTGCTTTATATTAATTTGAATATGATTTAGTCAATAGTTAATTATAACTTGTTTTACAGAGCCAAGTTTGACAAGAGTGAGCTGCCATTTCCTCCAGGCCAATATGTAGGAACGGGGTACATGCAAACAGTAGATCATCAGAGAGAATCGGATTGGAATCATTTAATAATAAAGAAATCCTGGGATTTAGCTCTAGGTCCTCTTAAACAAGTACCTATGAATTTGTTTATTATGTACATGGCTGGTAACTCCATATCCATTTTCCCTATTATGATGGTTGGAATGCTTATCATAAGACCTGTGAAAGCCTTATTTACGTTACAACAAAGTAAGTTCTTTATTAACTAATTGAATGCTTTGGATTTTTTATATATTTTAACATTCATAAGTAAACATTCTCATTTATGATGAATTTTGAATTTTTTCAGCTTTCAAAGTGATAGAAGGAACTCGTGTGTCAGGTCAAAAACTTGTCTTCTTCTTAGGACAATTGGTTAACATAGCATTAGCATTATACAAGTGTCAGTCAATGGGACTACTTCCTACGCATGCTTCAGATTGGTTGGCATTTGTTGAACCTCAAATTCAAATTGAATATTCTGGTGGTGGATTTATATACATATAAAATAAACTATACACAAATTTATTGAATTATCAATTGTATTTGCACAGAGAATAAATTATTATCTATATATAGTTTCAATTGTAATCTTATCCTTTAATAGTGGCATTTTTTAATTTTATGTATAAAAACCTTGGCTAAGTGAAACTTATAACAGTGACAAAGATAATATTCTACATTATTTACAGAATTCTTAATAAAAAATACAATTATACAGTATTATATCATTTTGCAGGTTGATGCTAAAATTACTTTTTTCTATGGTCATCTGCGAACTCCCTGATTTTTTCTATAATTTTACCAGGATCGTCCACTCTTGGAATCTGTTAAAACAAAAATGACTGTCATCATTAACATAATTATCAAAACTATCCTCATGACTGTAATATTTATATATATTAGGTTGAATAAAAAGTTTGTGCACAATAGGATATAGAAAGACTTCATTAAAAACACACAAACTTTCCATTCAACTCAATACATGTGTAAAAAATCAAGAAAATTGTTTTCGTACCTCTTACTAATTTATTTAAATGATAGTAATTCATTCTTACGACACTGTTAATTGTATATATAGTTATTAAGTATCACAAAGTAGAATTCACTAATGACATTTTTAATGGAAAATGAAAAACTGTTTTATGAGTTTAAGTTTAAGACATGAATCTGTTGTTTTAAGTACCAAAAATCCGTGTCCTATTCGTGAGGCTTACTCAGAAATAACAAAGAAATTTACTCATCATGATACCTCATAATTTTGGCTGATATATATTCCTGCATAAATTCCAATTCCCAAGGTTACCTGAAATCAAATAATATCTTTAAAAGTGAATTTGCGTTTGTAGTTGTCGATTATGATTGATGGCTTACCAAAAATTTTATCATGTTGACTTAGGTAATAGTAACCTTACTAAACCCGTCAAAGGAGTAATTTTGAGGTTAGAATCTATAATACCAATGAATTCGGACTACTACACGTAACTGAAGTCTAGATAAAAGATGTCTGACTTTATCCGAACTATCTTAAGAGTTCTAAAATATTCGAAGAGAAATTGTATGTATGTACCTAATCTGCATGACTTGTACCATAAAGAAGTATAAAAATTATGTTTTACGTAGAGGAGTGGCAAAAAGAAATATGTTAGAGCAAATAGGAAACATCAAGGTGATTTACCATTCAAAACTTGACTGACCAATATGGCCGTCCTACCCCTCCCTTTCCTACACTCAGCTTCCCCCCCTGATCTAAGCTGGTTTTGAGCTCCGAGATTATTCTCTGTTATTCTCTGGCTATATTCTTACGTCCGTGGTTCTACCAGGTTCTACCACGTGCTATTTAGCATTGCCGTCTATTTCAATCAAGTTTGGAAGGCATCTGCGTTTATTTTGTGAAACGGTAAAATGGTAAGAAAATTGAAGATTTATTTCGATGTGAACAGTACACTGTTGTAAGAGATTTATTTACTCTTAAAAACTGGAAAGTTATTTTTTTCCACACAATTAGCTCATTAAAACGTGACAGCCTAAAGAAGACAAACTATTTTTAAAAATTGTAATTACAAAACGAAGTTCAGAGATGTTTTCATGACAATGTCACCTGGACACTTTACGTAGAGTCCGATAATAAATAGAAATTCATTTCTATGTTAATACATAAAATTACTCTTAGTTTTGCATAACTGTTCATTTTAAGAAACAGTAGAGGTTAGGTTGCATATTTTTATTCTGAAATGCCATTTTTGTTTCCTTTTTTCATACTATTTAGTCCTATTACACTAATGTATTAATAATTAATTCGTTGAACATGTAAATGTATAAAATGTATTTGTCATTATGTACTTAGCGCTTAAAATATGTGTAAGGTTATCATGTTAAACCTGAAATTTATTTTGATATATAGTTCTGTTTCTTAGTCTAGTACCGTTATAGTCGCAGGCATTGGACTTGCTGCAATAGGGTTTGCAGGACGTTATGTTGCTAAGAAATTACCATCTCTGATGAAAAATATGCCAAACGCACAGGTAAGTTATTTAACTAATACATGTGTAAAATTTAAAAACTATATATATGTGATTATTTTAGACATTGGCAAACACAAAATACTATAAAGGTGGTTTTGAATCGAAGATGACCAAGCGCGAAGCAAGTCTTATTTTAGGAGTGTCACCAGTTGCAAACAAAGCAAAAGTAAAAGAGCAATTTAAAAGGGTAATGGCAGCAAACCATCCTGACCGCGGAGGTTCTCCATATCTAGCAGCAAAAATTAACGAAGCAAAAGATTTACTTGAAAAATCATCATAACAGTACCTTTTAGAATTTATATTCAATTAGTATATAGTAATTATTTAAATTAGTGTATCAATTTCGATGTACATATTTTCTGACACGAGTCATGTTTTATGTTTAATACAGGCGATAGTAAATAACTTATTTCTAATGTATTTATAATACCAATACCTGTTTTTTTGTTCATTTGTAGTTCTCTAATACTGATTCATAAGAAATAGACAAATGAATAACAGGTAAAGCCTATCGATCCTGCGATTTGCGCTTATTTTCAACAATGTCCTATATAACATATATGATTGTAGGTACAAAGTATACAAATACACGTTCTGTCCAGTCTTGAAAAAATTTCATCATATGCAATGTACTTAAAAAAAACGAAAGTATGTTGTGAAATAAAATTATATACATTTGAAAGACTGCAGTTGTATAAAACTTAGTAGATATATTTGATGCCATCTTGACTAGAGTATGTTTGTGAGTAATATATTTTGTGAAATCAGTACTACCGCACCAATTTTGCTTGTTTCTGTTCCATGTGTTGTTGGGAAATTTTTGTCCGCAATTTTACTATTAAACTTCCAGGAAATGATCCAGGCACTTTAAAGATACTCTGAAAATAAAGAAAATACAACATTGAGGAATGATAAGATTTATAATTATTAGAGGAATTTTGTACCTGCATAAAGTCATGACATCGTAAAACGATACTGTCTTTTGTGATTTCTTTAAAACATTCAGCTAGTGTTGAAAAGTCTTTGCATGATAGCAAATTTTCTCTATTCCTTTTAATAAGAGTTAGTGCAACTCGAAATATTATCTTACTGCCTTCGTAAAAAAGGCAATCCCATATTCGCAATGTGGTCTATAACAAAAAAATTCAGAAGTTGAATATATTATGTTTTGAATGTTTATGAAACCTAATATGAATATATTATGTTTATGAAACCTAATATGAATATATTAGGTTTATTGCAGAATATGTCACAGTTGTAGAAAAATTTATCTTATATCATAGATCAGTTTTGTAAAAAAATTCAGGCTGTGTAAAAAATTATTCTTATTTTGAGTGTGTTTAAATGTAGACAAAATTACAAATTTATTCATGTTCTTACCTCTATAGGTAAAACTTCTGCAAATAAACATACAAACCACTTTGTGGTAATAACTGCCCATGGTAATCCTATGTCTGTTACATGTTGGTAAATATCAGGCATTTTAATTCTAAAACAAAAAGAATACATTTTGTTAGTATATTCAGTAACATCTAGAGAATATGGTGATACTGATTTCACATTGAAACATAATACAAGCATCATACTTGACAAGTTCTGCAAGAACATCGATATCTGTGAGGAGTCCATCCATAGTAGGTGTATAATAATCTGGAAGAATTTTTTCAATCATCGTCTTCAATAACCAGAATGCTGTTTCTTCACTTTTTGTTACTAATAACAATAATCCCGCTATATAATTTAGTCCCTAAAGAAATAAAGTTGTACATTTAAAGTGTTAAATTATATTAATGCAGCTTTTTGTTAATTCTCCTATTTTGTACTCATTATAGATTACCTGGCAATACCCAACATTAGTGTTCTGATGAGCAAAAGCCAGTAATATATTAAATAACTGCTGCTGTTGATTTTCTATATTATTAAAAAATATATTGTCTGGAAATGTACGTGGTAGGTCAGTTTTTATAATATCACTGATCTCACGATTATGTGGCCCTTCCAATAACTTCTGATATAAATTAGGAGATGCATTTCTTAGTTCTTCTCCACCACTCACAGCTAGCCAAACCTAAAATATAGTAAGTTATATATTTCTAAATAATAATTAATTTATACAAAATTAACATTATGTTAGAAAATTAACAATCAACATGTATGTATTAAAATAATTCATACCATTCCCCTATGTTCTCCTGGAATGCCTTTACGGATATAACGCTTTATTGTAATACTCCTTTGTAGAGACTTTCCTTCCCCAATGATTTCGGACCATTTCTTCGCTCTTTTGGCTAACACTACTAAATATTCTGACATAAACTCCTCGTAAGGTCCATAATCAAAATCTTGTGGTCTTTCGAACCCATATTCATCCACATTACTGTAAAATAAAATATATTTTTAATTACTTATTATTATATTCATAAAAAAATACATTCCCAATTTATTGATCGAAGATGTGGTAATTAGTAATCATTTGTTGTAAAACATCTGGTACTACAGAAATTGATTGTTTAATTTAATATTTCTATTAAACAATCAAGATTGGGTGCAGATCAATTATACATTAACTATCAAAAGCATTTAAGTGCAGTACAGTATCTAAATCTTCAACAGTTTATTTAATATTAACATTTAGGCAGTGTATTACAAAATATTTGAATACAATAGCACGTATAAAAATAATCTTTCATAAGACAAAATAAAAGCTTCATTCTAAAATGTACATAATTGTAATAATCAATAAAATAATTTTTCAGAGGGAGTACCTGTCAATCTAACCTCAAAAGAATGCCAAATAATAAAGCAAATAAGCAAAATAAAGCGTTCTTTATGATTCATTTAGTATATGCACTTCTACAATTGTCATACATATATCTGAAATGTAAATCAGAATACTTTTCACTTTAATCGACAGTTTTTTGTTTACCTAAAGCATGAAGTTGCCATGCCCAAAGTGGGAGGAACGGTGTCATTTACAAGTGTGCGATTTTACACGAGAAAGTATCCGTAAAGATTGTCACTGTGTAGGCAAGGCGCTTAGTATAAAATTTATTCAAGCTTAACATAAATAAAATCTTTCGAGATTCACACAAACAGTAAACGGACTTACAAACGTTTTTAACAAGAATAAGTGGACCAAGCAGCTACTTGAATTGAGATTAAACAAGTGTAAGAATAATACATTTGGTGTACTGTACATTCCCCACGCGTGTTAAAGATAACACATTCATTTGTTTATAATCCGAAGTAAAGTATTTATTATTTAGATAATAGTTTGTACATTTATCATGCGTAATGGAAGACATATGTCATTTGTTGCGTGCTGTTTTCCCTTCATATTTTCACAAACGTAAGAATTAAAATTTTCAATACATATTTAGAGTATAATCTTTACTTTTGTGGTATATTTATTGCATATGGCGTTTTAATGTTTTGTTTTGAAACCTGATTTCTTATGAACTATTTAATAATAAGTAAGTGAATCTTTAAAGATTTGTCTGTGGCAGTCTGGATGTCATAAAAAATTCTATGGAAACATTATTCGCGTACTTCCAAGTTGTCATAAACTTCAATTTATTCATTTTTCATTTATATATAAAAATAAATAAGTAAAATTGGGTATTTCACATTATTAAAACGAGTAACATATTTTTTAACTGGAATAAACGTTCTGTTTCATGCGTTGTTACACAATTTTTGCCCATTTTGTTATAATTATATAACAACAACGATGAAAAATTGATAATATCATATGCTATGAAATATTAAATCAAATGTATTATTGTTTTTAAAAACTATTAAATTCTATGATACATTTTTTCGTTTTTATTTAAGTATATTAATATGTAGAATTATAAAAATTAATATTGGATGACATATTAACAATTTGCAAATCTAAGAGGGTGGCTAGTTTAAAATAAGTAATTTACAATGAAAATAGGTAGAAATGTGTATATGATCGTTTTCATTTTATGAATAATATTATCCTACATAATTATTGTGTTTTGTGATACATATTTTAGAATATGAGTACTTATTTCTTGAAGCATTATAAAACATTGCTGTAATAGCTGCTTTACTTACTTATTCAGGAGTGTTAAAATATGAAAGATATAAGTAATACCATTATGAATAGTTAATATAGTTATTAAAAATAACAAAAGTACTATAAGCAGAATCAATGTAATTGGGTATTTCTAAAATACGTTTAATTACTTGCCGTAATAATTATACTTTTTAGTATTAGTTTAAAAGTGAGAAAATCGATCAAATTCAGTTTAATCGTTTGGCGGTTTTAAAATTTCGCGGGTAACAAAAATTCGATTATTCAATGGAATCGTGTAGAATCGACTAGATTTATCGATACATGTCACCGCATGGTGACGGAGGAAGTAAAATGGCGTTACCTGTTCCTTGTGTTGCAGGTAAGCATTTCTTATTATTTTTAAACTAATGCATTATTTGGTGATACAAGTCAATCTACAAATTATAACTTTTTAAATACTAGTTTCTTTTCTGTATTTAAATGGCTAAAGTCTCTCGCTAATACCTCATCCTTTTGTGACACGACACGTTTGATTGACCAAAAGTACGTCATGTGGCATAACTGCATACGAGTGCGTTTACAAGCAGATAGTATACTTTGGTAGAATACTTTGACCTACCCCAAGATAGTAATACCGAAAGGGTAAAGGTTATTACCTAAAGAAGCCAAAAATCAAATTACGATTCCAAAGATAAAAGTTTGTATCAAATGTAAAATGTGTTTTTTTCTGATGCTGATTATTTTCCTAAACATTGAAATTTCATGTTTTTCTTAGTCTTTTATTGCAACGAACTGATACGTTTTATGCAATTAGGTAACCGTTCAACTCCAAAGACATTAAATGCTTTGCATTAACCTTTCTCTAGTAACATATGTATTGAATCCATGAATGAAACAACATGGATTGGTTAAAATGCTTTAACCATGTTACATCCCAGGAACAGATCTTTTCTGTATGAATTCTTTTAAAATCAATATGAATAATTTAATCATTTAAAGCTGGAATGATAAACTAACATCTTAATTTCAGTTCGAGGATCTACCGGTATAAGGTTAAGCCAGGGTCCACCTTCGTACGAATCAGTGACCACTTTTCCAAAAGATGACAGCAAATTGTGTAGGGCTATGCTATTTAGTCCTGGAGGACGTTACTTTGTATGGATTAATGGAATCGCTATCAAAATTGTATTATGCGACACATGGAAAATTATCGCCGAGATCAATAGACCAAAAGTTTGTGCAATGCAGTTTTCTTCACATGGAACATACCTTATGACCTGGGAACCATTTCTTGGTAACCACATTATGCAAATTAAATTTCATATTACTGTGCATATTTTCAATAACCATTTTGACGTAACGGATTTATTTTAGTATCACAAGCTAACCCAGAGGAAACTCCAAATTTATGCATATGGAAATCCGAGAATGGGGATTTAGTAAAAAGTTTTGTCCAAAAGAAACAAAGTAATTGGTAATGTGCTTAAGTTTCATTATCTATGTTGTTAATACATAGCTTAATGTAGTGACAGCTTTTTATAACAAATTTTTTTTTCAGGGAGCCACAATGGTCAACTGATGAGAAGATTTGTGGAATGTTGATCAATAATAATGTTGTCTTATATGAAAGTGCAATTTTTGACAAAGTGATACATAGAATAAATGTAGCTAAAATTGCAAAATTCAGTATATCCTCTGGCAATGCTCCATACAATGTCCTTTGCTATATGCCTGGTAATAATTTTTCTCATTCGTGTAATAATCGTTCTATAAAACAAATAAAATTTGATTGCAGTATCTTAAAAGCAACTTTATGATTTACTATTGTGTATACTGTAATTAAAAAGTATCTCTTATGTTATTAATTATGTAAATTTAAAGTATAGTATTCTTTCAGTTATGCATAGAATATGCAGAAGAATTTTTTATGATTCTGATAAATTATTTTTTTAGGGAAATCTGGCCAACCGAGCTTTGGCAAACTATTTCAATATCCAAAATTTGAAGCATCCCAGGTTTTAGCAACAAAAAGTTTCTTTCAGGTAAAATCGATTGTTTCAGTTTAAATCTTCAATATAATTTCAATAGATATCAATCAATGTGATATGTTTTTTTCTTCAGGCTGACCGTGTTGATGTATATTGGAATCAGCATGGCACAAGTGCTTTACTAATGACTAGTACAGAGGTTGACAAAACAGGTGCTTCATATTATGGAAAACAAACTTTGCATTATCTTAGTACAAAAGGTGAAACGGCTATGGTCACACTTAGTGAGTATTATATATATTGTATTTAGTTTTTGGTCAATGGCCAATAATTCGTTATGTAATTGTTTAATTTGTAACATTAAATACATTGATAGGTAAGGAAGGTCCAATACATGCAGTTGCTTGGTCGCCAAAACATACGGAATTTTGCGTTGTCTATGGATTCATGCCTGCCAAAGGAACCTTATTTAATCTCAAATGTGAAGCAGTGTTTGAATTTGGTGCCAGTCCTCGGAACAGTATATACTATAACCCTCATGGAAATAATATCCTTTTTCATGTAACATTTCTTCATTCATTTTGTTTCATAAGTTATGCCAATTACTGCTCTTCAGTTAGTATCCTATAATAACGGAATCCTTAACCACAAAGTACTTCTCATCTTAGCTGGGTTTGGCAGTCTGAGTGGTAATGTAGAACTATGGGATGTAAATAACAGGAAATTAATAGCTAAGACTGAGGCTCCCGATACCACATTATTACAATGGTCACCCGATGGTGAACATTTCATGACCGCAACCACTGCACCTAGATTACGAATGGGTAATGGGTACGTAGTATTTTGAAATAAGAGTGCAGTTGGCTATTCATTTGATATTATTTTATCAATATTGTATGATCATTAATTGCTTTTATTTGCAGTTTTAAAATTTGGCATTATTCTGGGTCGTTGCTTTATCAACGCCCATGGAACGAACAGGAAGAATTGTGGGAAGTTGCATGGCAAACTTATCCTCCGAATACTTTTGCTGAAAAACCTATTAGTTATAAGGCAGTGGAAGGCATTGCACCTAGTCAACCACAGGGTAAGTTTTTGCAACTTAAAAATTGCTCCAACTCTTATTCCGATCTATGAAATTCTACATTACTTTACAATTTAATCATATTACGATTAGCTTCAAAAGAAGTATATAGGCCACTCTCTGCAAGAGGACAAACAATAACCTTTAAGTTACACGATGACGATGAGCTGGGGTCCAAGCCTATGACTGATTGTAAGTAGGTTATCGACAACATAGTTTTGTTACCATTATGGACTAGTTTTTAATATTTTGTATTCTAACGAACACGAGTAAATATTTTTAGCAAATTTGTCAAAAGCTGCATTAAAAATGAAAAAGAAAAGAGATGCTAAGAAAGCCAAAAAAGAATTAGAAGCTTCGGCATCTCAATCTCAACTGTGTAATACAACTGCCAATGGTCAAGTCAATAGTACTGTTGCAAAAGCTCAAAATACCATAACAGTTCGCGATATTGAATTTACTGATGATCCTGAAAAAAATAAGAAAATTAAAAAAATTAAGAGTGTAAGTATGTCCAAAATTTAATACATAATTTAGATATGCAAATATCTTACGTGTTCATTTATAACTATTTTACAGAAATTAGATCAAATAGCCAAATTAAAGGAGCAATTATCATCGGGAAAACAACTGGAAATTAATCAACTGGATAAGATCAAGAAAGAAGCTGAACTAATAAAGGAGCTTGACGATTTGACATTGTGATGCAACATTTTTCAGTTCAGAGATAATAATTGAAATTCATTTCAACTGTTACCTGCTCACAATATTCAGAACAATGACTGCCACGTATGCAGATGACACCGTTACACTCGTAACTTACTCTGATTGAAGCATTTGATATTTTACAAATCTCATAAAATACTATACGTGTAATTTCCAAAATGGTAAATCATGACAAAAGATATTAATTCTCCAGTCTTACTAAATGACAACCAAATACCTCAATGACGAAGCAAAGTACCTAAGAATATACTTGGACCTGGAGGGAGCATATTTTCACAAAAGATAAACAATTTGGAATTTAGCTAAATAAAACATAGCTTACCAGTCAATGATCTTAATCTCAAGATTGGATACAAAGACTAAAATAATAGATTGCATATTTAACTCATTTGGTTCTACACAATTCAATTATGGAGAATTGTTTTAAATCCCAACAGAGAGATTTTCCAGCGATTTCAGTTTAAGTGCTCGGATTAATAGCTCCATGGTTTGAAACAAATGAAACGTCACTCAAAAACCTTTAAATTCCATTTGTAAAGGATAAAATAGGGAAATATGCTTATTCATTTTTTAAATTTAATAAATTAGGCGGCCATCCCAACTTACTTACGATTACATTGATGGCGAATTGAACTTTTATCAGATGAGAGTAGATTCCCGCAAGACATCGCAATGTGATCAAATGTTGCGGAATTTGAAATGATGAATGCGACAGCAGGTCGCAACTTACCTAAATCATATCTCAATCTCATAAGAGTGCAGAGTATCCTGAATGAGGATAAGGGGTGAAAAGAAAGGAGATACATTTCAACTGTTCGATTGAAGAAAATAGCGATCTCGATTTTGTACTCACGTTAAAGCGTATACAGTAGAATCGTTTTGATAAAATGAAACTTGTCTATAAGCAATGTCAAATGACACAATGACCTTGTAGCGGTTTAGTACTACAATTTAAACGAATGAATTTTTAACATTAAGTTCTTACTTTGGTATATGCAGCACAACAAAGTGTTCCAAGATTCGTTGTTTGTCAAAGCAGTGAAACTGAAATGTATTTATGATATATAACAACGGTACATCCATCTTAATACCGTTGTTTGTCAAAGCAGTGAAACTGAAATGTATTTATGATATATAACAACAGTACATCCATCTTAATACTAACTTACAGAAATTTCATCTAATGGTATATTTGTGGTTTCATATTCCAGTTATAAAATCTTTCTTTTATTCATTTTTGCATGAAATTCATGTGTATTGCATCATTCAAAATGAAAAACAGGTTCTTTTTAAAAATATCATAACCTTGTTAAAGAAAAAAAAAAAAATTTCATTGTTATCTCTAATGGGGTGCTTTTTATTATTTCTATGCCATTGGTGCGTTAATACCCATTATAGTATCTCCTGCTAAGTTCAATATTTGCGTAACAATTATGAACATATAATAAGTAGAGCACAATTGTAAAAAATGCAAACATTTAAATTTGTTTCTCAATATAGGTATTGTGATTCCTTTACATTTTTTTTCAAATGCTATGGTTTATATGTATTTAATAACACTTTAAGGTATTTTTTCTACGTCAGGACTGTCGCTTATCTTTGTTTCGCGTACACTTAATCTGCTGATGTTTTAACTTAGTTAATAGCAGGCATTTCATGTTAAAGAAGTTTGAATACTGTCTGAGTGGTTGGGTACTACCTCGAGTCATTTTAAGGATGTTTATTGATTGTTTACATACATCTCATCAAGACAGTTTTGCCTGTTTTATGCGAAAAACACTTTCGTTTAAGAATGTTGCTTCATATTGTCATTTGAACGAATTTGAAGGACGTGGACAATTCCATTAATTTACGTGTACTTTCAAATGTAGAAATTGTGAAAATTTAAAAGTAGTTGGGAATAGCGTAACAAAGTATTGAACACTCTTTACTTATTATGCCATCGTTAACTTTTTGTGCTTCATTCGGTCGTAGGTACAACGTATTTAAGAATCATTTATTCTGGGCAGGGTCTCAGAAATATATATATATATATAAATAGGTACATAAATAGATATCATCTGAGATCATGTAACGTCACATCTCCAAAGCATCCCCAATACAGTGCAATGCTTAGAAACTTCAATCCATTATTGCAATTACGAGATTGATTTGTCCACCGTAAGAAATTATTTTCCAATCTACGAAAAACCTGCAATGTTATGTACAGTTCAATGAAATTTATAAAAATAAACTATAAAATGCATTGTTGATTAATAAGATTGTCTCCCTTACTATGTACAATAAATGACCATGGAAACAATTAACTACTCAAGGTAGATGTAGTCAACATAATGAATAATGGTAAAATTTAGGTAAATAGTAAAGAAGAATAGTTTCAGGTAATCAAACAGATATAGTTATAATGGTTCAAAATAAAACCGAAAAGAAAGTAAAATTAGCCATGGCTTCGCGTGTACGTATATGTACGTATGCAAGTGTATATTTGTCGTGAAACTCTGACGAGTTTCCTGAACCCTGGGACCAAAAGTAATTTTATCATAATTCATATTTACAACGATATCATATAACCTTACGATTTTGTGATCAATGGAAACTATATTTCAGTTAAAATCCTCTACTAAAATTAGATATCTCCTTACAAAAATGTTTTAAAAATGGTTATATTAAAATATACTATTTAATTTGGAAGTATGTACTTTTTATCAAAAGTCCTGTACTACCGCAAAATCATAACAAACTTATGTTGAATAAAAGCAGGAAATAATGCTGTAGAAATTAAAAAGTCAAAATCGGAATATAAAAACATTCTAGTTTTAACGAAATCGATTGAATGCAAATTCACGTCAGATTTGTTTTGTATCTTTTTACAACGAAAAGTTGGAAACAAAAATGGTTCGACCGAAGTGATTCAAAATTTTCCGTAGATATTAAAATCAATGCGGTATGTTGGTTTCGTAGTTTGTCAGTTTGACGTTACTTTTCCTAAGAGGGCGCTAGAAAGTCATTCCGTTTTATGGCAAAGTTATGATACCCGCGTCGATTGCCTTATAATGATCAATTATCAATGGTCGAGCGTGTTCGGCAATTTTCGGTCAGCGTCGGACGACTTCGGTGCAGTCCGGGGAAGACCGTAGAAGCCGCGGGCTTTGGACGAAGGGCGGGGAGGGGGCGTGTCGAGCCGATTGCAGCGCCTCTGTCGTGTTTACAGATTTGCAGTGAGTTCGTAACGTCACGTCAAAACTGCAACACGAATTTCTACCACGATTTACTATGTAAAGGTGCGTTTCTCCGCGTGATTCGCGTACCGGTATCGGCTAGTGTCCTCGCAGCGTCCGTTCTCGCCCTCGCGGTCGAACGGGTCGGAGAAACCGATGAAATTTGGGATTTTGTTCGTGCGGCAGTGCCAATCGTTAGGAGGGTCGCCATTTTGTCCGGAGGAGGCCCGGTCGGGTGAACGGGGCGAAAAATAGGTGCACCCTCGGCCGAGCGACGTTGAAATCGCGTAGGTACGATCCGCGACCAGTGATTCCTATTATTCGATTCTGTTCGAGCTTCGGGGAGCGCAATTCGGCAGGACGTTTTCCAAGTTACTGGCAAATTCGCCGCTGCTGGCTTTTGCGCTGACCTACCGTTCGCCCGTTTCGCGGCGAGGGTGTGTGATATTCGATACTTATGATCCCTTTGTTGGAAATTTTCTCTCGGTTTGGCCCTCGTTGGCGGTGCTTCGGACTCGCAAAAGCACAACGTATAACAGTTCGGACTGTCGGATGACGTTGCCTCGGTTCCCGGCCCAGGGAGGCCCGAGTCTTTAAGACATTGTCTCGCGACGATCGTCAAACCCGAGAGGAAACCAACCCTCTCGTAATCCGATTAGCGTTCATCGTAACCGAGTTATTGACTGTTTCTCGTCTTCGACTACGATTTCTTCGTGTCGGTCGGTCGCCGATATACCGGTATCTCCTATGGTCGACAACTATCGGCGCTTCATGTGCCTTACACGATTTCATCACGTTTACGTATTTCTTGTCCAAAAAAAGAGTGTGACATTGTTCGGTGAAAATTTAGTCAAGTACTAGGTATTCCGTTTAGTTTTCTTTATCCTATTTTTAGACGTATTGACTCTTTAACCGATATCGTGTTAAGGTAAAGCGTACGTAACCAGTGGGAAATGGTAACAACGTTATGACAACAGACGTATGAGTTTGTCCTGTGCACGTTTGACGATAGCATTTACGAGAGGTACGCTTTACTTTAAACCACTAAAAACTGGACGGAGAAGGAACCGGATTGATATAATTTCGGTTGGTTCGTGATTTTCTTTCTGAAATAGATGGTTTAGAGTTTTGAGTATATTGGGTTTACCGTAATCGTATTTATAACTATGATTTGGTACATGCAAGTATTTTTATTAACTTATGAACTATTTTACGTACTGTTGCAGATAATGTAGGTATAGATTAGTGGAACAAGGCCTTTAGGATATAATCATATTTAATGCCAGTGAATGAGGTAGATGCTTCTTTCCGTGACATTGTTATACACAGACATTTTGAGACAATCGGAGATTAGCGTAGGCAGATCGGAATGACGATTGCCACAAGGGGTCAGGGGGTCGGTATAGACCCCCCTGAAAGCCAGCAAAATTCACAAGTACGTTTTCATTGATTAAATAGTCGTTGCTCATTTTATTTACACTTCTTTATAATAGTTGCTTATCGTATTTAAGTATATGCGTTATGGCATTTTGTTCTTTACCGTAGATGCATAGTCCACCAGGGACTCAGCAGCTGGCAGATACAATGTCAGGGCTTCAGTTAACAGAGAATGTACTGCAAACCGAATGTAGTAACGAGAATATAAACACAGGGGAAGATAATAATCAACAACAACGCGGGGAACCTGATTTTCCACATGCTAAACTTGCAATGCTGGATGAAAAGATATCTAGTCCACGATGGGTTGTACCAGTTTTACCCGAACAAGAGTTAGAATGCTTATTGCAAGCTAGTATTGAACTGTGCAGAAAAGGTAAGGTCTTGTATTTATAGTGTTTTTAAAATGTGCATGACGTAAATTAATAATTTTCAGGAATTGATGTACAAAGCGAAGCATGCCAGCGTTTTTTTCGAGAGGGACTCACGATATCTTTTACAAAAATTCTGACCGACGATGCGGTAAATAGTTGGAAACTGAACATACATAATTGTATCAATACTAATTGTGAAAGATTGGTGGAGCTTTGCATCCTTAAGCTAGACGAGGACTGGTTTCCTCTTCTTGATTTGCTGGCAATGGTTTTTAATCCTAATAATAAGTGAGTCTAGCACTTACTGTAAGTCTAGCACGTTATTTAAGACTATCAAGATAATGAAATGACTTCTTTAGATTCCATACATTTAATGCAGCAAGAGTATCTGAAACGGTACCACCTGGCAGTAATATTCCAGACGAGGAACTGTTTGCACGACCACCTCCTGATTCCAGAAGTCCTCGCGGTTGGCTCGTTGATCTTATCAATAGGTAAATTTTTGTTATCAACATTTTCATGAAATGAAAAATGTATACTCATTTTCAGTGGTTTTCCATCTGTATGGTCATTTTTAAATTCTGGGTATTAGCACATTTTTGTCTCTCATGGTCAACATTCTGTCAATATTGATATAAATCTTTAGTATTTGCTTTTTTATAATTGTAATTGATTAAATTATCATTAACAAGTAAATAATTAAGTATCGATAGCTCTTAAAAATGTGGATTATTAGCAAACTACTACATGTTTGAAAAGCAAAAACATATACATGTAATTATATTGTAGGTTTGGGGACTTCAATGGATTTGAAATATTACTGGCAAGGTTTCGAAGTGGGCGGAACTTAACAGTGCCAGTTATTTATGCATTGCTCAGACCTTTCGGACTGTGCTACGAACTATTGACGGTTCAGACAATAGTTAAATATCTTATGCCCATAGTGGTAAGCATTATTCCCATGATACACAATATTTTCTATGGCTATGGAATTTGAATGCTCGATTATTTCCTTGTAGGAAATGGTGCCTGTCATTTTGGATAACTTAACAGATGACGAATTAAAAAAGGAGGCAAAAAACGAATCGAAAAACGATGCGATATCGGCCATAATCAAAGCCATAAAGTGCCTGGTGTCGCGAGTACCACATCAAGAGGAGATGATTAAGAATTTAGAAATATTGAGACTGAAAATGATCTTGAGGCTTCTGCAAATATCGTCATTCAATGGAAAGATGAACGCTTTGAATGAAGTAAACAAAGTCATAGCCAGTGTAAGTTATTATCCACACCGCAATCCAAGTCTTGAAGATGAAGAATGGCTGACGGCCGAGAGAATGGCGGTAAGTGAAATTGTTTTTTTTTTCCTTCCTTTATATACGAGTGTTAAATCAAAATATTTATTTCTTATAGAAGTGGATAAAAGAGAATGGGGTTTTAGAAATTGTTTTAAGAGATTCGTTGCATCAACCGCAGTACGTGGAGAAATTGGAAAAGATTTTACGTTTTATTATCAAAGAGCGTGCGCTTACTTTGGAAGATCTGGACGCCGTGTGGGCAGCTCAAGCCGGCAAGCATGAAGCGATCGTGAAGAATGTTCATGATTTGTTAGCAAAACTGGCTTGGGATTTTAGTCCAGAGCAGCTAGATCATTTATTTGAATGTTTTCAGGTAAATCAAGAGCAACATTTTGCAATGACTGCAAGTTTTACATTCTTTTGATTTAATATTTCAGACAAATTGGAAAACTGCCAATAAAAAGCAACGAGAGAAATTGCTAGAGTTAATACGGAGACTCGCCGAAGATGACAAAGATGGGGTTATGGCTCATAAGGTTCGTTAACTTATGATGCTAAATAACATTCAATGTTATCGAAATTCATTGTGTATCTTATGGTCATGGGTTTTTAATAATATTAGGTACTGACGCTTTTCTGGAACTTGGCACATTCTGATGAAGTTCCTACGGAGATCATGGATCAAGCACTTAGTGCTCATGTAAAAATACTGGATTACTCGTGTTCCCAAGAACGAGATGCACAAAAGACGATATGGCTGGATAAGTGTGTCGAAGAACTGAAAAGCGGCGATAAATGGGCGCTACCAGCTCTTAAACAAATTCGAGAAATCTGTTGCTTGTATGAACCTAGTCCGGTTACTATGAGCCATACTCAACGTAGTCATCATGTGTATTACAGGTGATTAAAGATTTGTTAAACTTTATATGTCAGACATACTGAAGTTCATTGTTTTCACAGGCAAGAAGTTATCGAACGTTTACAAAATCAACATTCAGTGGTAATCCTTGTCACAAATAGCTTGACAAATTACATGGATAAGGTGCGGCAATTGGTTAAAGAAAATCCAGAGATCAACGCGAACACCTTTATGCCAGATCGTCGGTATAATCACATTATGCAAGTGCAGGAAAGGCTGAATTTTTTACGATTTTTACTAAAAGTAAGTGTCAAATACTGATACCGATGCAACGATACTTCTTTGTATGACATGATTATTATATTTCTGATAGGATGGTCAACTATGGCTGTGTGCAGAACAAGCAAAACAGATTTGGCAATGCTTGGCAGAACAGGCTGCATTCGTGTCTGATCGTGAAGCTTGTTTTAAGTGGTTTTCTAAATTAATGGGAGAGGAACCAGATTTAGACCCTTCAATTAACAAAGACTTTTTCGAAAATAATATTCTTCAATTGGATCCCTCATTGCTAACAGAAAGTGGAATTAAATGTTACGAAAGGTTTTTTAAGGCAGTTAATTCTAGAGAAGGTAAACTGAAACTCAAACGGAGAACGTTTCTAATGGATGACGTCGATTTAATTGGAACCGATTATCTGTGGAGGGTCAGTAAATTATTTTCCTTTCTTAAATTTTTGTTTTAATGTAAAACAGATGGTAGAAATTTTAATATTCTTTATAACACGCAGGTGGTAACCAATGGTCCGGAAGAAATTGCAAACCGGGGTATAGAACTCTTGAAAGAAGTAAATACTAATCTAGGCCCACGATTGCAATCTACAGTTTTAGTGTTTCATGAAAATTACATAGCAGAGTGTATGGATAGATTAAAAGCTCATTTTGACACAGTTTCTGTTTTAAGTAAAGTGCGTCTCGATGGAAAAGAGGAACGAGAAGATCAAATGACTAACAAAATTCGAATGGAAGCTATAAAAATGTGTCGAGTGATGAAAGTTCTTCAAGAATACTTGAACGAATGTGATACTGCCTATCCTGGAGAAAGAAAAATTTTACCATTGCACAGGTAAGATCTTTCAGTTCTTTAACGGAACATTAAGTATTCTAAAAGAAATACATAGTTACGGTATTTCGAATTACAGAGCAGCTCGTGGCAAGTATCTATGTCTTGTCATTCGATTCGCTAGTCCTGGCCGCAACGCTGATGACTTGGATGTCTTTACACATAGCAACGATACTTTGGCTTCCTTAAGACGACAAATATTGCGCAGGATCAAGGCCAATGGCTCGAATGTTAAGCTAGATTTATTCATCAATGGCGAGTCGTTAGAACCGGCAGATGATAGAAAGCTGCTGTCTCAAATTCCCCTGAGAGATAAAATGGTTAGTTTAAAAGACAAATCAACTGATAGGACATTTACAAATACGTTTCGTTTCTTAGCTCTTATCTGCAAAATTGAGCCAAGTGAGCAGTAACCTGCCTAGTTCTCCGGAAAGCAGTTCGGACAGTTCCACGAGTTCTCCGCACCACTTATACGATGGACCCAATTTAGAAGCAGAGAACAGTCTACCTGGTGTAGTAAGTCTTACGAAAACCTAACTTTTTATAAAACCTTAACGTTTTCTGTGAACATCCGATAACACAAAATTTTTCTGTCTAAGGTCATGTCTCAGAGACCGCAATATGCGACGTTCTTTTTTCAATTAGCGGATCTTGGATGCAACCTGCAACATCCTCAGTTACGCGACGGAGCGCGTAATCTTCTACAGTTAGTGCCACCGGACACTCTTACAGTGACTCGATTACAGTGGCTTTTCGGACATTACAGAGATGACGAACCATCACAGAACCCACATTGCAACGAACAGAACACCAACGTTGATACTTTGTTCTTCTCTGCTAGCCCCAGCCAAGTTTTATATAATTTAGAAGTAAGAACTTGGATACTTTGTTGAATACGTTTACAGTAGATAACGATCAGTCGTTAACGTTATTTCTTACGCAGGTACTATACACGTTACTAATGCCGGCACTTGATCCTATGTCTGAAAGAGCATTTGATTTTCAATACAATTTCATAAAGAGCGGAGAGGCCGGGGTAATTCTTGATATGTTAACGAAAAACAAATTTCTTCCCAATGCGGATGAATCCACTAAAAGATCGGCGTATCTAACGGTATTGAAATTGTGCAAACTTCTACTGACCGTTATTGGAAACGCGATGGCTTGCGTTGTGGACGAAGTACAGCAAACCTCTATTCCTGAGAACCACGGGAATCTCATTCACAACAACCGAGGGCCTGTGGCCGTTCTCAAACAAGCATTGCACAGTGTACCGAATCAGAACACCGAATACATGCTGAGAAACGTAGCGGCTAAGCTCGCCCAACACTTCGCAAGTCAAATGTTATCCGGTGTCTCGGAATCGGACAGGTGTCGACAACTCTTTATACAAGCTCTTTCGTGGGAATTGCCAGACATGGCAACCATTCGTGCCATAATAAGATTAGCTTGGGCGGCGTCGACAGGAAACTTGAACAACATTAATGCCTCTACCGAAATTCTCCATGCTGTGCATGAGACGAATCAGAAGGAGCAAAAAACTCCGGATAATGATGACGTATTAGGTAAGATGTTTTTCCTTTCGAATTCGTTATTACAGACTCTGGTAATTGATTCGCAAATAACATGCAATTCTCTTTTAACAGTGTGTAAGGAAGCTTTAGAAGTCTTGACAATAGCTTTAGTTTTGAATCCAACCGCTTTGGACACGCTGACCCGAGACAAGATTTGGCATACCTTCTTAATAGACTTGGTTCTGCTAAGTACTTCAAGGGCAGTGCGAATGGCAGCCGCTGAGCAGTTTTTACTCATATCTACGTGGTGCAGTAGTGGGCACCAACCATTACAGTTTTCTATTATGCTTCTCTTTACCGTTCTTAATACGACTGTGGTGGAAAACGCCAAACAAAGTCACGAGTACTTTCAGGTAATTAGATTTTCTCCAACATTCGGTTAACAAATTGTTACTCGTTATTGATCTGAAATTTTCTTTAAAGTTGTTGTGTAGATTACTCAATTTCGCCCAAATTTCGGGTTGCCCACTTTCAACCGCTGAAACGTTACTTAGCAACGAAATAACATGGTTGAAAAAAGTTCGAGATACCGTAAAAGAGTGCGGAGAAAGTCAGATGGAAGAGGCGGTGTTGGAGGGTCATTTGGGCCTTACCAAGGAGTTATTAGCCTTTCTTCCTGCGAGTAAGAAATACGAGTTGGGCTCGGACGAGAAGCGAGGCATCAATTTGATAAAGGTTCGTTTTGATGCCATTGAATATATACAAACAACTACGTTTTCTAGGAAAAATGATGTAAAAGAACATTATTTTAGGAATTGGTTGAAGATTTTATATTTCCGGCATCTCGACTAATGCTGCAGCTTCGAAGCACTGGAGAACTCAGTTCTTCCCAAGCTTGTCCAGTGTGCACAACCCCACAATCAACCAGCGCAGCATTCGACCTCCTCGTGGGCCTCTGCGTAGGCTGCGTTCCTAACATGAAACTTCTAGTCACTATGCTCACCGACATGTTCTATTCAGAAAGGGACGAACCCTTGGTAGAATGGGATTACTTACCACCCGTAGGACCACGGCCTCATAAGGGTTTTGTTGGTTTAAAGAACGCTGGTGCAACGTGTTACATGAACTCGGTACTACAGCAGTTGTACATGGTCGAAAGTATCAGGGTGGGTCTTTTAGCTGCGGAAGGAGCAGCTACGGATTTGAACGAGGATTTCTCAGGAGAAGAGAAGGTCGACGGAGAGCAGACCATTGAAGCTAACGACAATGATACAAACGAGGAAAGGTGCGGGGCTGACGAATCGAGAAAGGAGTATAATATCGGTATACTAAAGCAAGTACAGGCGATATTTGGCCACCTTGCGTATAGCAAATTGCAGTACTACATACCCCGTGGGCTCTGGAGGCATTTTAAGTAAGAATTCAATTAAAAAGTATCATATTAGATGAGCGGCTGAATTATTTATACCTTCATTTATATATCTTTCAGACTTCAAGGGGAACCGGTCAATCTTCGAGAGCAGCAGGACGCCGTAGAATTTTTTATGAGTCTCGTGGAGAGTTTAGATGAAGCCTTGAAGGCATTAGGGCATGAGCAGATAATGGGCAAGATACTCGGTGGCTCATATAGCGACCAAAAAATCTGCAAAGGTTGCCCTCATAGGTACCACTTTAATTATTCATTTCCTTCTACTGTAAGCAGTAATATTACAGTTCAATATCCGTAGGTATTCGAAAGAGGAACCCTTCAGCGTAATAAGTGTTGACATTCGGAATCATAGCAACCTGTTAGATTCTTTGGAGCAGTATGTCAAAGGAGAACTCCTTGAAGGTGCTGACGCTTATCACTGTGATAAGTGTAATAGGAAGGTAAATGTATCGATATATGTATTAATTACCAAATTTGTGTGTACCTTGTCTTAAGCCTATATTAATGTTTCATATTATCACCTTGGATAGGTCGTGACCGTGAAGAGATTATGCGTGAAGAAGTTGCCACCGATATTAGCTATTCAATTGAAGAGGTTTGAGTACGATTTTGAAAGGGTGTGTGCGATAAAGTTTAACGACTATTTCGAGTTCCCGAGAGACTTGGACATGGATCCATATACCGTATCCGGACTTGCTAAATTGGAAGGAGAAGTTATAGACTGCGATTACGAAGAGGCAATAAAGGGAACTTGTACCAAATATCAGCTGAGCGGTATCGTAGTTCACAGTGGGCAAGCCAGCGGTGGTCACTATTACTCTTATATCTTGCACAGGCACGTTTCAACACACGTCACGCAGTATAATACCTTCAATTTGGTAAAATACTATATAAGGTGTATTACCGTCGAGTTAATAACTTTTTTAGATTAAATGACGGCACTGCAAAGTGGTACAAGTTCGACGATGGTGACGTTACCGAGTGTAAGATGGAAGAGGAAGAGGAAATGAAGTCACAGTGTTTCGGCGGTGATTACATGGGCGAAGTATACGATCATATGCTGAAACGCATGAGTTACCGGAGACAGAAACGATGGTGGAATGCGTACATGCTGTTCTACACGAGGTTGGATGTAGAAGAGAACTCTTTAATGAAAAGCGTCAACGAATTATCTCTCTGTAAGATTTTTATCTTATTAGCGGTAGATTTGCGAATGATTGAAAAATTAATGAATATATTTGCAGATACGAAACTTGGCGTAATGCGAATGCCTCCTGCGATCGAATACAGCGTTAGGAAGCAAAACATTAAATTCATGCATAACCGCAATCAGTTTAGCGTGGAATACTTCCAATTCATTAGGAAGCTCGTTTCTTGCAATTCGCACTCGGTTAACAGACAAAATCCGAGTGATAAATTTGTAAGTGGAATAATTAAAAAACTATCGTACTCATTTTAAGGGAAGAATAAAGGTAGATCATGTTAATTTCTAGAGCCCCGAGGCCGAGGAACTAGCAATGTTGTCAGTGCAATTAGCATCAAGATTTCTATTTTACACGGGCTTTCACACGAAGAAGACCTTACGAGGTACAGCAACGGATTGGTATGATATTTTATGCCACCATCTCCGCGGCAGCAAGGCAGTGCGCTCCTGGTTTGCTCATAACGTTCTCTTCAATCATCCACATAGGTAAACATTATCATCATCTTAATAATAGAAGAATGAAAAAAGCTAATAAGAGACTGCATGAATGTCGATTCATCGTATCGTATGATTCTACATTAATTTATGTTACGTCACTCGTTCTTCTTGTTAAAAAGGTGTACTATTGTATTCAACTGTTTACAGATTTTGCGAGTACCTCTTGAGCTGTCCTAGTCCTGATGTACGGACAGCTTTTCTAAAGATTTTGGTATTTCTCGCGCACTTTTCCCTACAAGATGGTCCTTGTCCACCTAGTCTAAATGCACCGTGTAAGCCTCAAATTAGACTGAGAAATTATGTTAATTCCTTTCTATAATAAGGATGTACTAGTTAGCTATGTTTGCTTCCTTTTTTTAATCGGTCGTTTAATTTGTAGCAATCTTATTGGATCCTGCGGCGACACTCAGCGATCATCTGCTGCATGCGGTTCTATCCTTGCTCCACCGAGAGATATCGGATCATGGTCGTCACTTGCCGCACTATTTCTCCCTCTTTCATACTTACGCGTCACTCGGTTTTGCTGAAAAAGCGCAGCTACTCAAGGTAAATCCAAACGCAATAATGTGCAGATAAGATATCAATGTTTTATCACAAAGACATGACGCAGATAAATGTATTTAATATTTAATTGTAGCTAAATGTGCCGGTAACATTTATGCTGGTCGCAATCGACGAAGGACCGGGCCCTACGATAAAATATCAATATCCTGAATTGACGAAATTGCATCAAGTGGTTAGCATGTTGATACGTTGCTGCGATGTGTCATCGAGATGTCAATCAAGCCAGGCTCAAAATGCTGTACCGCCGTTGCCAAATCCTTATGGCGATCCGTCCTGTCAACCGGACTATCTTATGCCCATCCAGCCTCAAGCTGCTGACATACTTTTCGTTAGAACTAGGTTGGTCATTTAAACGTGAAAACATCGGTATAATTATTTTAGTAAGAAAAGATCATAATTAATTGTTATGTTTATTTAATCAGCTACGTTAAGAAGCTAATTGAAGATGCTAACGTAACGGAAGACACCGTTAAGTTTTTGGCGTATTGCTGCTGGGAGAATCCACATCTCTCTCGAACCGTTCTTAGTGAGCTGTTGTGGCAAATTGGATTTGCTTACACTCATGAATTAAGACATCATACTGATCTTCTATTCGCAATGCTTATTATGGAGGATTCGTGGCAAACTCATCGTGTCCATAATGCGTTGAAAGGTATTGTGTTTTTTTCTCATTCGACGTATTAATGTTAATTGTTTCGTTCAGTGGCATAATTTTTTAAGATGAAGTGAAACCCCCCTCAAATCAGTCGATTCGAATAACACACTCTTTTTCAAGAGAATTGGATAGAACCGACTGATACTTTGACACATGACTCGCGAGCACCTAGGAATTATCCTGACACTTTCAAAAGTAGGATTTTTTTTTTTAATTTTTAACTTCGCCCAGACCAGAACCAAAATGGCGCCGAGCTCTCATATTTCGATCGATATCCAATTATTGAAGGCTCTAATATGAAAAACGAAAGTCTGGATAATTATACGACAATTTAGAACACTCTGGAAATGGATACACTTGCATTTGAACGGGATATAAGCAAAAAAGTGTCTTATGCGCTATGTTGCTAAAATGATGGTAATATGAGGTCTTGGAGTGAAAATTTAATTGACACGGAAATCACAGATGGCGCAGGGGGTCCATCTGCAGTCAATTAGGGCCTTGGAGACCACGAAATCAGGGGATTTCTGGAGTTTTACTTCGATTTCTTTATAATTATTGTACGAAAACGACAGATGGAGTATGCCATTTAGGACAATACTCAATATAATTCGACACAGCTGTTAATATAAAAACTAACGTCGGCAACTTAGGTATTTAGAAAAATCTTTTTTACCGACATCGATCAAATCCCTCGACGCGTTTCACTTCATCTTAACAACAACAAATTATACTTTCCTAGCGTTGAATTCATATACTTGAGAATCATTCTTGCAAACAAAAATTGACGGCTTAAATTATTTACAAGTATACAGAGTAATTCACCGAAGTGTAATAGACTTTTAAGGGGAATAGATTAAAGTAACGATTTGGAACATTGGTCATCCTTGAGACCTTGATAGAATTTTCTTAAATATTCCAAACTCTATCACATTTCTAATCCAACCGGAAGTGGTTGTCAATGCTGTTATTTTAAATGGAACACCCTAATTATTATAATTTCGAATTTCTGATTCAATTTTAAAGGCATTTTATTCGGTATACCTCTCCTCGTTTACGTTATACGGTTTCGGAGCTATTTAAGGTGAAGTGAAACACGTCGAGGAACTTGATCAACGTCGATAAAGAAGATTTTTCTAAATGCCTACGTTGCCGACGTTCGTTTTTATATTGACAGCTGGGTCGAATTATATTGGGTATTGTATCAAATGGCATATTCCACCTGTCGTTTTCGTACAATAATTATAAAGAAATCGAAGTAAAACTCCAGAAATCCTCTGGATTCATGCCTTCTGGGGCCCTAATTGACTGCGGAGGGACCCCCTGCGCCATCTGTGATTTCCAGGTCAATTAAATTTTCACTCCGAGACCTCGTATTACCATCGTTTTAGCATAGAAGCGCATACAACACTTTTTTTGCCTTTATCCCGTTCAAATGCGAGTTTATCGATTACCAGAGTGTTCTAAATTGTCGTAAAATTGTCCTGACCCTTTCGATTCTCATATCAGAGCCTTCGATAATTGTATATTGATCGAAATATGAGAGCTCGACGCCATTTTGGTTCTGGTCTGGACTGAGTTAAAAAATTTTTTTGAAAAATCCAAATTTTGAATGTGTCAGGACAATTCTTAGATGATCAGGAGTGATGTGTCAAAGTTTCGGACAGTTTGGTCTAATACCCTTAAAAAAAGTGTTGTATTCGAATCGACTGATTTGTAGGATGTTTCAATTCACCTTAACCCTTTACACTCGGCGCTCTTTTCGACTGGGAGGAATCAGCAACTCGAAGCTGTTATTTGTATTGTGTATAATGCCCATTGCAATCTAGGCATTGGCGTTCATCAGAATAAAAAGAAACAGTCATTGTCTCCTCCCACTCGCCATTCGAATTGCTGTATCGAACCAAATGGCTATTGAGAGAATCTCGATTGCAAAGAGTGAATTTTTATTTTGTTTTTAATTACGTCCACCATGTCCTTGATAACATTAAGGTGAAGTGAAACACCCTTCAAATCAGTCAATTTGAATACAACACTTTTTTTTAAGGGTATTAGACCAAACCGTCCGAAATTTTGACACATTACTCCTGATCATCTAAGAATTGTCCTGACAATTGAAAATTTGGATTTTTCCAAAAAAATTTTTTACTCAGCCTAGACCAGAACCAAAATGGCATCGAGCTCTCATATTTCGATCGATATACAATTATCGAAGGCTACGATATGAGAATCGAAAGGGTCAGGACAATTTTATGATAATTTAGAACACTCTAGTAATCGATAAACTCGCATTTGAACGGAATAAAGGCAAAAAAAGTGTTGTATGCGCTTCTTTGCTAAAAGGATGATAATACGGGGTCTCGGAGTGAAAATTTAATTCACCTGAAAATCACAGATGGCGCAGGGGGTCCCTCTGCTGTCAATTAGGACCCCAGAAAGCACGAATCCAGAGGATTTCTGGAGTTTTACTTTGATTTCTTTATAATTATTGTACGGAAACGACATATGGTGTACGCGATTTGGTACAATATCCAATATAATTCGACACAGCCGTCAATATAAAAACGAACGTCGGCAACGTAGGCATTTAGAAAGATCTTCTTTATCGACGTTGACCAAGTTCCTCGACTAGTTTCACTTCACCTTAAATATCTTCGAAATCAAACAAGATGGAATCTTGCGGTTTTCCCTGTTCCGTTTAGATTGAAAAAATCTTCCATCTTAAAATTGAATAAAATACGGGAATGTCATAATAATACGTCTTTTTTTTGTGTTATACAGGAGTGCCCGATGAGAGAGAAGGTTTATTTGAAACGATACAAAGAAGTAAGAACCATTATCAGAAACGAGCCTATCAGTGCATCAAATGTTTGGTGCAAGTTTTCAGCAAATGCAGACCTGCGTACCAACTATTGCATCACAGTTCGGATTTAAAGCGCAAATGGATTCTTGCTATCGACTGGCTTCAGGACGAATTGGATAAGGTAAATTTTATATTAAGTGTATATCTCATTTAAATGTAATTACGTTGTTTAAGCTGTTACATGCTTTCTTCACATTAGCGACCGTATACTTCGGCTACGCCATATACTCACGCTTACAATAACTGGTCACCACCGGCGCAGTCCAACGAGTGCGCCAACGGGTACTTCCTGGAACGTAGTAACAGTGCTAAAAAGACTCTCGAAAGAGCTTACGAGCTCTGTCCAGACGACGAACAAGAAATCGAAGAAACAACCGAGGAAGTTACCGAAGACTCCGAGAAACGTATTAAAGTGGTATATCCTAAAATCTTCGGTCGGACTGGTTATTCATCAGAGTGGGTCGAAGAACGGTAAGTAATTCTGCATACTGCTCGATAGAAATAGAAATAATTAAAGATGAAAAGGACGACTACTTTAATAATCATTGGTTTATTTATCTCACCCTGGGGTGTTATCGATCTTTTGAATGTAGGTGAAACATCGGTCTTACGATGGTAAGGTTTTATAAAACTCCAAGGAAAGACAAAATAGATGTTTACCTTCATGTATAAGTTTTTATAAGGACAATGACTTCTTCATACCAACGCATTATTAAAGTTTCCAATGAAACTAACATTGTTTAAATATTAAATTATAATAATTAAATTAACATTGGACGATATGGGTCTTTAACATGGGTGAAGTTTAACTATTGGGTTGGCACGTAAATGATTGCGGATATTGTCGATAGGTGGCGTTAAAAAATCCGCAATCACTTGGTTGCCACCCCCAATAATTTGCTGAGAAATGAGGTTGAATGCATTTATGAAACATGTTTAAGAGTCAGGTAAAGCCAGGTCGATCATATTAAATTTTTATGTCAGAGGCGAGGGAATCGCGCGGAATTTCCAACCGGTATTTATATACATTTTTCACGTTTTCGTCAAAATGTGGATGTCGTGGTGATCAGTGGACGTGTAAAATGTGTCAACCGGTCCGCATTTGTGTTGACATTGTGTTGATTGTTGAATTATTAACTCAAAATCCTAACCTCGTTAGCGGGTAAATTTTTGGAGAGTGATATTTCGTTTCATAGTGCACGATTCATCATAAACTGACCGGCTGGCAGATTTCGTGAATACCTAGGTTCTCCGTGTCGTGATTTTCGTTAGCAAATAGTTAATCGGTCCGTAGAATAACGATTACGAATTTTGTCCGATTTCCTCGCCTCTGACGTCAAAATTCAATATAGCCGACCTAGCTTTACCATATCCTTAAGGTGAAGTGAAACACGTCGAGGAACTTGGTCGACGTCGATAAAGAAGATTTTTCTAAATACCTACACTGCCAGCGTTCGTTTTTATATTGGCAGCTGAGTCGAATTATATTGGGTATTGAACTAAATGGAATACTCCACCTGTCGGTTTCGTATAGTAATTATGAAGAAATCGAAATAAAACTAGAAATCCTCTGGATTCATGCTTTCTGGGACCCTAATTGACTGCAGAGGGACCTGCGCCATCTGTGATTTCCAGGTCAATTAAATTTTCACTCCGAGACCCCGTATTACCATCCTTTTAGCATAGAAGCGCATACAACACTTTTTTTGCCTTTATCCCGTTCAAATGCGAGTTTATCGATTACTAGAGTGTTCTAAATTATCATAAAATTGTCCTGACCCTTTCGATTCTCACATCGGAGTCTTCGATAATTGTATATTGATCGAAGTATGAGAGCTCGACGCCATCTTGGTTCTGGACTGGGTTAAGTTAAACAATTTTTTCCAAAAATCCAAATTTTTAATGTGTCAGGACAATTCTTAGATGATCAGGAGTGATGTGTCAAAGTTTCGGACAGTTTGTTCTAGTACCCTTAAAAAAGTGTTGTATTCAAATCAGTTGACTCTAATAAGACACTTTTTTTCAAGGGTATTGGATAGAACCGTCCGAAACTTTGACACGTGACTCGTGTGCACCTCGGAATTATCCTGACATTTTCAAAATTTGTTTTTTTTTTTTTTAATTTTTAACTTCGCCCAGACCAGAACCAAAATGACGTCGAGCTCCTATATTTCGATATCCAATTATTGAAGGCTCTGATTTGAGAAACGAAAGTGTCAGGATAATTGTTCGATAATGTAGAACACTCTGGTAATCTAGAAACTCGCATTTAAACGGGATAAAGGCAAAAAAAGTGTCTTACGCGCTTCTATGCTAAAACGATGAAAATACGTAGTCTCGGAGTGAAAATTTAGTTGGCGCCGAAATCACAGATGGCGCAGCGGGGCCCTCTGCGGTCAATTAGGGCCTCGGAAACCACGAATTCTGGGGATTTCTGGAGTTTTACTTCGATTCCTTTATACTTATTGTACGAAAACGACAAATGGAGTATGCCGTTTAGGACAATACTGAATATAATTCGACACAGCTGTTAATATAAAAACTAACGTCGCCAACGTATTTAGAATAACCTGTTTTACCGACGTCGATCAAGTTCCTCGACGTGTTTCGCTTCATCTTAAGGCAAATTGAAGAAAATTGTAAAAAAAAAAATGGTATCTTGTGGCTACAGACGATGAGATTGATTTGAGATTGTTTGGAATGTAATCAGAAACTCTGGAGACTTAAAATAATGAAAGTACAGTGCTGATAATTGCCAGAATCGCAGGATTTGATCTAGAGCGAATGAATAAATGTGAAATCCATTTTCCAGAGACCTTTACGAGCCCGGTTGCGTGTCCGTATCAACGGGTTACACCCCGCAGCCCGACGTAACAGGGACCCAGGAGACCCAAGAGGAGCAACAACCGCAGCCAGGACCTTCGCCAGTCCACTGGACTCGCGCGAACAACCAAATGCACAGTCCGCAGAATTCGGAATCGACTCAAAGCACCAGTCAGGATCCATAATGAATGCTAAACCTCGATTCTCGGCCCAGTTGCTGCCTCGATGAAACCGCTTCGGAATATCTACGTTTCGCCGTGCCAGTGGCTCAGTGCCGAACGGTAGACCGTATGTACAGATGAACATACCAAAAGAAACCTAAGAGAGAGTGAGTCTGTTCTTTCCGACTGGACTTGTTTCATTAAGTAGATTACGTTACGTTGGTCAGTTACACCGTGGACGTTTTCGCACGAGTTAAGCGTACAATCGAGACGCGGCGTTTAGCCATTGGTACCCTTTCCGACTTTGGAACGAAACTGCCGCGCGAATCGTGACTAAGAGAGAATGGTAAGGTTGTATAAATGTATAGCGAGTAATGTTATCGGGATCCCGTCTCTGCCGAATAGAACGAATATTAAAGAAGCGCAATTCTCTCCGTGTACTTGTGTAAATTTGAACATATTGTTATATTAATAAACACTTGAGAAAGAAAACTCTTAGAGGGAGCTCGCGAGGCACGGCCAAGGAGTAGGACGGCCTTCGATACCCTTGGCTCTGCCTTACGGCGTAAGCCGCGTCGCGGTCCGCCGAGATACGACTTCCCGCTTCGCGACACCTTTTAGTTTCGTCTATGGAAACGGTCTTTCGGTACTTAATCGAGCGAGCAATAAGGGAAGGGTACGGAGAGCGAGCGCAGCTAGCTCCCGAAGCTTCCTCGACGAGACGTCGCGATTTGGTGGCGTATTCCTCCGTATGGCTCGGACCCGGTTTCGGCCTCTCGTCGCGCTTAGTTCCTTAGTTTCTGTCCGAGCGATGTCGCGAGTCGTGCCTTTCGTTTCTTTTTACGGTTTGTCGGCTCCCGGGCAAACCTCTTATTTCCAATCTCGTTAGTCATTGCGCGCGCGCGTCCTTTATTTTGCATCCGCTCCGGCTCGCCCCCGTACCTTCCGAAACGTCCGGAGCGAGGGAGAACTCGTCGGCGACGGCGGCACCGTGACCGAGCGAACGAAGGCGGAAGAGGGGGGTCGCGTCGCTAGGCGTATCGTTGGAAGATACGAGTCATCGTTATCGAGCCGCGGTCTCTTCGCAGCTTTGTAAAGCGGTTATTTGTATTTAACGAAGCTCTAGGTAGTTAACTAATCTAGATTAACCCGCCGCGTTTCTAAGGTATACTCTCGTGTTACCGTATATCTATGTAAGGGACGTATTAGCGCGAAGGGACTCGACTCGTATACAGCGTCGAACCTCGATACGAGCGGAGAAACTCGCGAGAACTGACCGTAGAACTCGGATTTAGTGATGCGTGGTACGTAGCTGCTGTAGAGATATACATATAATATTATTAAAGAGATTTCGAGTCACTCGACGTAGCAAAGAAAAACGGTGGGGGAGCCAAAGGGATCCTCGCGCGGGCGGAGGGTGTGAATACCAACGACTAGGTCGAGACCCCAGGAACTTAGAGGAAAAGCGAAAGATACGCGAAGACGATTATTGCTCGTATTTATCGATTAACCGTGTTTAAAGAGAGACAGCGTACCAAATTTAATAATAGCTCTTACTCTCCGATCGGTTTATAATAACGATGGTACCTAAATCTTCTTCAGATATGTACATACATATATAACTGCTTTTTATATGTGATAAACAAATCATTATATTCCTACTATATACGCGAATGACGGAGGCGCTCCTGTAAATCCTGGTTTTTTGTACACACTCCGTACGTATCATAAGTTCAACCCTTTTGTTATCGAGAGTGTAGTTGATAATTATTTAATATTTAATTCTATCGCTACTAAGCTTTTCAGTCTTGTGTACGATAATAGTCGATTTCGAATCACCTATCCGAGGAAGAGTCGAATACGAGACCGGAAAACGAGAGATTGCTGAGAGCTTGGTCGGACCCTTTTGCGCATTGCTTCACATCGGAGCGGACCGTTTTTTATCGCGGGAACACTTGCTTGACATCCTTTTGCCGTTAACCGTCCCAAAGGAGGAAATACCTTCGGTGAAACGTCGATGGATGGACGGTCTTAACACTAGGTTTACGGGCGTTTTATACATGTTACGGTGAAACACCGAAATCTGGAGAATGTCGACTTTCACCGGTGAATGTCAACATTCACATAGTCGGTTAGTGTATGTCCGAAATATTGGCTAAATACCCTTATTTCTGACTTACACCGGTAAATGTTGACATTCACCGGTGTGTGATTGTCGACACACACTGGAGAGGGTCCGAATGTACAACGATGTAATGAAATATTCGATCTTTCACCGACGTATTTCGTATCTGTTGACATTCACCGGTGAAAGTCGACATTCTCCAATTTCGGACATTCACGGTAACATATATACCTGTTTGTACGAGCATCCGTCAAATTGACGGGTAAACGAAAACACGCATTTTCTTTAAAAAATCGATTTATTCAAATTGAGTCTGAATTAAACGACATTAGGCTTTACGTTTAAATGAATGATTAATAAGTAAAAAGTTCTTTTTTAAAAATTATCACGGAAATGATTGGAATGCTCGTCCTCTCATCCTCGGAATCAGAACTAGAAAGGATGCGCATCCTTTTCTTGCTACGACACCCTTTCAAGAAGTTTTCCTCTTCACTATCCGAAGATCCTTCTATCTTTCCACTTTCGATGCAAACTTTCACTCTCATCTTCTCCTTGCACTCTCTGCAACGAAGCAAATATATATGGATTGTTTATGAAATTAGCTAGTCCGTCAATTTGACGGGTTTCGTAGAGATAGGTATACCACATACAGATTTTAATAATTAGAAGGCTTAGGAAAAAATAATTGCGTGTACAAATTCTTTGGATGAAATGATTAATTTACGATAGAAAAATGGTTAAAATTAATGCTATGGTTTTTTCGGTATTTCTTTTCGAAGTTTGAATTCCGTCAAATTAACGGGTCACGTAAACCTAGTGTTAATGCCCGTTAGAACTTCTTTTATGGCATACCGTTTCGCTAGTGTTCTTGTATTATCTCTTTACCGATTTACCGTTTCTGCAGAAAAAGAAAATGATGCCAAGCAACTGTTTCGGGGTCTTACTGGAGCGAAGACCCGAGACGATTTTTCCGAATTCATTTAACCGAATTACGTTGCAACTGGTAACAACGATCGGGTGTAACGTCAAAGGTGATGTTAACGCGTAATATTATGACACGATTATACGAAAACGATAACAAATGACGGAGCAGGATGGCATTGTGAATTCATAAATATAATGTTATGTCACAGGTCGTTTCTAAACGGTGATGATTGTTACTATACGTGTTGTATGGTTTAAAAGTCCAGGTTTAGCCGTCAATAAATGTTGGTACCGTGGTACCGATCGGAATGGCGTGGATTGATAAAACGGAAATGCGTTTAACTTTTGTGCAGATTTCGATTTCTGCTTATGGTGGTCGGTCATCGCCGTTCAGGATTGACAAGATAACAAAACGTTTGGGGGATTTTAATACTTGGCTGTCGATCTTATTTGAAAGAATAATTTTACTCGGGGCAACCGAGTATTATATATGATGTGGATCTTCCGTCATTTATGCATGCCTTTTTCTAATCACGTTTTGGCTTGTTTCGCTATGACAGGGTTACTGCAAATAACGTAAAGTCAGGACAATGCAATATAACATGAAGATAACGATATTAGACCACCAAAAAACCTGCCCAACCGTCCTACAGACTGTAATATGCTTCTTTGTATTGCGATGTATCGTTAACCCGAAAATGTAATGTCAAAAAGAGTGACGAGTACCCTCTACTTGAAAAACGTGCAAGATAAAGGCTCCGAAATATAGGCGGGACACCGATAGGAATGTTTACATACAATATATTTCATTACAACTCAAATTCCAGAATTTTAATCACAATTTCACTATGATCTTGGTATAGATATTGTTACCGTGTTTTTTTTTTTTTTTTTTTCATCGCAACGAAATTTAAACTAAAAACACCGTTTGGACTTGGCCTGGACTCCGAAACGGAAGAAATGTACATTTTCCAAAATAGTCATACCTTTTACGAGTTAATAGATGCGAGCTTAAGATGTTACAGAATTTTTTATATTCCTCAAAAGAACGAGGAAGTTACAGGAAAAGTAATGTTGCCGTCATGTTTTAGTGGAATGAATGTTCACTTTCGTGGTACGGTCGAACATTTTTTTATTCAAATTTTTCTGTAACGTGAAATTACATTTATTTTCCCGATAATTCCAGATAATCCCCTGAGTTTTCAGTTTCGATGAGGGGTTTAAGTTTTTCCATCCCAACTATTAATGGTTGCGCACATATTTGGGACATAAACATAACGCTTACTTCCGAGAGCCATTTTATAATAAAGTTTAAATTAAGGTTAAACTTCTGGATTTGCAATTGTAATGAAATAATTTGCATATTCCTATATGCAAGTCTTCTCTGACGAAGTCTTGCTTTCTTGATGCAGTCCCGATTCGGTTACTCCTCGGTGCATGTAATTATCACATTTAATTAAGCTTGAAATGTCCTTTTTCTGTAGCACTAGATCGCGGTACTGTTGTCGTAAGTCGTTGTACATTACATTACGTTACATTGCGAACCAGAGAGCGTTCGAATGAAAGGGTGGCAGGCATGCTTAAATGCAGAAAATTGGTGTTACAAGGGAAACCGAAAGAAAGGAAAAAAAGAAAAAAAAACATGGGTAAACGTGGTTAACGAGTCATTTTCGATATTAAGAAAGATTTAATCTTAAAATGGTCTTCGATCCACTATATTATAGCGGAATGAAAAGAAAATAGGAAGAGCAATTATAAAAGAAAAATAACGAGACGCGTAACGAGTACTGGGCCAATAGTTCCTTGAAAGGGTGGAATAAGTTCTGCAATTCTCAAAATCCTCTTGTACCATTTACAAATGTCAACGGTTCGCAAAGTAAGGACGCATTTTAAGAAGTGGTGTTTCCTGATAAAGAAAACGATCGTTCACCGAGTTTATTGAAGTTTTAGCCCGACGTCTACCTTTGAGGCTTTACTCCAAAGTGTTTAGCGGGAATATCCCTCGATTATCTCTTGGCGTATGCAAGATGCATCTCAGGCAAATTGTTAAATTTAAATGATTAATTTTTAATTTTTTCAAATTATTAATTCCTTAGCCATTAGGCTAACCGGGAATATACTTTCCTCTGGGGCACGGCCCTCTCCATTCCTCTGTTCGCCTTTTCGTCCCGAAGTTTCTACACGAATCTACTTAAATTCTATTCAATCTTATCTCGTGCCATTGCGGAAGCTCGAAAAGCTTCGCTTTATCGTAAAAAAGTGGTAATGTTGCATGTCGGACACTCTAGTCAGTAAGCTCAAAGAGAAAGTACTGAATAATGCCGGAAAATCGCTCAGGCGAGTAATCGTCTAATGGTCAGATATCTTTTTTTGCGAGATCGCAAATACCAGATTTTGCGTATTTGCTAGAAAAAAGTACGTTTGAAGTGCACCGTCGATGATCGCATTGGGTGATCAACGATTGCTAGGAGAAAGCTAGTTGAATATACATCGAAGTTCAAACCTGGGATTTTCAAGCGGTACGATTAAATGTTGCATTGCATTTTTTAATTACAACGTCGTGAAACATTTAAGAACGTTTGAAACCACCCCTTATCCGAATTTAGCTTCCTGTCATTCTAGTCCCTAAGGTGATACGAAAGGGTCATTCTAAATATTTATGAAACTTTTCTCCAACTTGGATGCACCGAATCATTTAGAACTTGAGCACGTGATGATAAAGGCCCTAAGGAAAAATACGATGCTTATGGAATTTCAGTTTTTAAGAAAAATACGTGTCCTTCGTTCCAGTCTGGGATAAATAATTTTTGTTTGAAAAATGAATGATTTCACGAGCGCCGCGTTCTTCCGCAGGGTCTCTACAATCACGTCCTAAAGTTCCAAATTATTTGGTACACCCAGTTTGGAGATAAGTTTTATGAATATTTTGACATTTTTATATTTTACATAAAATGTCGAAATATTTATAAAACTTTTTTTTTGCAAATTGGATGCACCGAATAATTTCTAACTTCAGTACGTGATTATAAAGGTCCTAAGGAAGAACGTGATGCTTGAGAAATTTTACTTGAAAAAAAAAAAAATGTATTGGTTCTCGTCTGGGGTAAATAAAAAAATTTGTTATCAAAAATGAAATTGCATGAGCATCGCGTTCTTCTTTACGGCTTCCATAATCATGTGCTGACGTTGGTAACGATTCGGTGCATCCAGTTTGGAGAAAAGTTTTATAAATATTTTGACATTTTTATATTTTACATAAAATGTAGAAATATTTATAAAACTTTTTTTTCCAAATTGGATGCACCGAATAATTTCTAACTTCAGTACGTGATTATAAAGGTCCTAAGGAAGAACGTGATGCTTGAGAAATTTTACTTGAAAAAAAAAAAAATGTATTGGTTCTCGTCTGGGGTAAATAAAAAAATTTGTTATCAAAAATGAAATTGCATGAGCATCACGTTCTTCCTTACGGCTTCCATGATCATGTGCTGAAGTTGGTAACGATTCGGCGCATCCAGTTTGGAGAAAAGTTTTATTAATATTTCAACGGTTAACATATATAGAATGACCCTTTCGTATCACTTTAAACCACTTCTACTTGGTTTCGTCTATCAAGAGTCGGAATGTCTAAAAAAATCGACTTCGAGGTACTTAAAATTCCTCCAAAAGCCTTTTGAGACTTTAAGAGTTATCCAATAATAGGACATTACTTGTTACTCTTTGGGCATGTTTGGTTTTTGACGTAATTTTTTAAGGGATGTTTCGTACTCCCAATATATTTCGCGTTAAATTGATTATTCGTTATAATATTGCTGTTAAATCGATCCACCGGTTATTCCAACTACAATTGGCGGAAAATATCGGGGAATATGTCCGCAGCGCGAACGGTGTACAGAGATGGACTGATTTAATCGAAAATGACCGAGCCGGGACGAGAAAGAAAGAGGAAAAGGTGCGATTACGAGGAAAGGCGACCAGGCGTTTACGATTCTTACCAAAGTCAGAATAAGTTCAGCCCTCGGTACCGAAGGACTTTTCTTAC